TATAGTAGCAACAGCCATGGCCTTGCCCTTTTCTGTAGATTCTGGAAAGGACAGGAATGATTATGTCATGGAGAATCATCAGAAGAGAGTGCTGTGGTAGCTGAGTAATATTTATGTGTGTTGTTAGGGTCTCTCTCTGTCACTCAGGCTGGAGTGCAGGGGCATGATCATAGCCCAGTGCAGCCTCGAGCTCCTGGGCTCAGGGAATCCTCTCTCCTCTGGATGGTAGGTGCTGCATGCCACAATGCCCTGTTAATTTTGTTCTTTAAAACAATATTAAATTTTTTTTTTTATTTAAAATTTCTGTGGGTGCATAGTAGATGTGTATATTTAGGGGATACGTGATACGGGATATTTTGATAATGTGTAATAATTGTATCAGGGTAAATGAGGTATCCAACCCCTCAGTCATTTATCCTTTGTGTTACAAACAATCCAATTATACAACTTGTTATTTTAAAATGTGCAATTAAATTATTTTTGACTATAGTCACCTTGTGCTAGCAAAGACTAGGTCTTATTCAATCTTTCTAACTATCTTTTGTACCCATTAACCAGCCCCATGTCCCCCTATCTTCCTTCACCTAGCCTTCCCAGCCTCTGGTAACCATCATTCTACTCTTTATAGTTCAATTGTTTTAATTTTTACCTCCTACAAGTAAGTGAGAACATGCAAGGTTTATCTTTCTGTGCCTGGCTTATTTCACTTATGACCTCTAGTTTCATCCCCGTGGTTGGAAATATCAGGATCTCATGGTTGATTGCTGAGTATTTAATTTTATTTGTAGCAGTTGTAAATGGGATTACTTCCTTGATTTCTTTTTCAGAGTCTTCATTGTTCAGGCCTATGGAAATGCTAGTGATTTTTGTATGTTGATTTTGTATCCTGCAGCTTTACTGACTTTATCAGTTGTAATAGTTTTTGGTGGAGTCTAGGTTTTTCCAAATGTAAGGTAGTATCATCTGCAAACAAGGATAATTTGACTTTATTCTTGCCAATTTGGATCCTTTTTATTTTCTTATTGCTTTAGTTTAGGACTTTCATAATATGTTGATTAACGGTAGTGACAGTGGGCATCCTTGTCTTCTTCCAGATCTTAGAGAAAAGGCTTTCAGTTTTTTCCCCATTCTCTATTATACCAGCTCTGGGTCTGTTGTATATAGTCTTTATTTTATGTTGAGGTATGTTTCTTGTATACCCAGGTTTTTGAGAGTTTTTATCATGTTGCATTTTATCAAATGCTTTCTCAGCTTCAGTTGAAATCATCATATGGTTTTTGTCCTTAATTCTATGTATCAAATTGATTGATTTGCATATGTTGTGTTGAATCATCCTTACATTCTTGGATTAAGTCCCAGCTGGTAATTCTTTTAATGTGTTAGTTAATTCAGTTTGTTCATATTTTGTTGAGGATTTTTTCATCAATGTTTATCAGAGATATTGGCCTGTAGTTTTGTGTGTGTGTGGTTATTTTTTATGCATCTCTGTCTGATTTTGGTATCAGGGTAATAACTGGCCTCGTAGAATGAGTTTGTAAGTATTCCTTCCTTTGTAAGACCAGCCTGGCCAACATGGAGAAACCCTGTCTCTACTAAAGATACAAAATTAGCTTGGCGTGGTGGAGCGTGGCTGTAATCCCAGCTATTTGGGAGGCTGAGGCAGTAGAATCGCTGGAACCTGGGAGGTGGTGGTTGCAGTGAGCAGAGATTTACACCATTGCACTCCAGCCTGGGTTTTCTAATTTATTGGCACTAATTGTTCATACTAGCTTCTAATGATGCTTTGAATTTCTGCAGTATGAGTTATAATGTCTCCTTTTTTTAATTTCTGATTTTTTTTTTTTTAAATTTGGGTCTTCTCTCTTTTTTCTTAGTCTGGCTAAAGGTTTGTCAGTTTTTAAATTTTTTCAAAAAACAACTTTTGTTGATTTTTGTATTGTTTTCTTCTTTTCAATTTCTTTTATTTCTGCTCTGATCTTTATTTTATTTTCTTCAGCTAACTTTAGGTTTAGGTTTGGTTTCCTTTTGCTTTTCTGGTTCTTTAAGGTGCATCATTAGGTTGTTTATTTGAAGTTTTTTTTTGTTTTTTATGTAGCCCCTTATAGCTATAAACTTCCCTCTTAATTCTGCTTTTACTGTATCCCATAGGCTTTGGTTTGTTGTGTTTCCATTATCATTTGCTTCCGTAAATTTTTCAGTTTCCTTTTTTCTTGAGACGGAGCCTTGCTCTGTTACCTGGGCTGGAGTAAGTAGAGACGGGGTTTCACCATGTTGGCCAGGCTGGTCTCCAGCTCCTGGTATCAAGTAATCTACCTGTTTTGACCTCCCAAAGTGTGGGGATTATAGGTGTGAGCCACTGGGCATGGCCCAGTTTCTTTCCTAATCTCTTCTTTCACCCACTGGTCATTCAGGAACATACTGTTTAATTTCCATATGTTTATGTAGTTTCCAAAATTCCTCATTATTTATTTCCAGTTTTATTCCATTGTGGTCAGAGGAGATACTTGATATTATTTCGGGTTTTTTTTAGTTTCTTACCACTTGTTTTGTGACCAAACGTATGGTCTGTCCTTGAGAATGATTCATGTACTGAGAAGAAAAATGTGTGTTCAACACCCCTTCAGTGAAATATTCTTAAATATTTATTTGGCCTGTTTGGTGTCTAGTGCAGAGTTTTTTTTTCTTTTTCTTTTTTTTTTGAGATGGAGTCTTGCTCTGTCACTTAAGCTGGAGTCCAGTGGCATGATCCTGACTCACTGCAACCTCCGCCTGCTGGGTTCAAATGATTCTCTTGCCTCGGCCTCCCAAATCTCTGGGATTACAGGCATGTGCCACTACACCCTGTTAATTTTGTATTTTTAGTAGAGATGGGGTTTTACCATGTTAGCCAGGCTGGTCTCAAACTCCTGATCTCAGGTGATCTGCCTGCCTTGGCCGCCCAAAGTACTGGGATTTATAGGCGAGAGCCGCTGTGCCTAGCCAGTAGTGCAGATTAAGTCTGATGTTTCCTTGTGTATTTTCTGTCTGAGGATGATCTGTCCAATGCTGAAAGTGGGGTTTTGAAGTCTCCAGCTATTATTATATTGGGGTTTATCTCCCCATTTAGTGCTAATATTTGCTTCATATATCTTGGTGTGCCAGTATTTGGTACATATATAATTACACTTGTTATATTCTTTTGCTGAATTGAACTCTATTATTATAATGACCTTCTTTGTCTCTTAAAAAAATTTTTTTTTGAAGTCTGTTTTGTGTGATATAAATATAGTGACTTCTGTTACTTTTTGTCTTCTTTTTTCTGTTCGTTTTTGGTTTCCATTTGCATGGAATATCCTTTTCCATTCCTTTATTTTCAGTTTATGTGTGTGTCTATAGGTGAGATGTGTCTTTTACAAGCAACAGATTATTGCATCTTGTTTCTTTATCCATTCAGCACTCTTTGTCCTTTGATTGGAGATTATAGCCCATTTACATTCAGTATTATTATTGATGAGTAAGTATTTACTCCTGCGGTATTATTTGTTTTCTGGTGTTTTTGTGGTCTTCTCTTCGTGTCTTTCTCTTAGTGAAGGTGATTTTCTCTGCTGTTATGTTTTATTTTCTTCTAATTTTTTGTTTTTCACTTATTTGTAGATGGGAGTTTATCATGAGGCTTGCAAATAGTACCTTATGGTTTATACAACACTGACTGCATAAACAAACCAACAAAAAGAAAACTATTTAAAAACTCAATACTTGGCCAGGCACGGTGGCTCACGCCTGTAATCCCAGCACTTTGGGAGGCTGAGGTGGGCGGATCACAAGGTCAAAAGATTGAGACCATTCTGACCAACATGATGAAGCCTCATCTGTACTAAAAAATACAAAATTAGCTGGGTGTGGTTGTGCAGGCCTATAGTCCCAGCTACTCGGGAGGCAGGAGAATTGCTTGAACCAGCGAGGCGGAGGTTGCAATGAGCCAAGATCGCATCACTGCACTCCACCTGACGACTGGTGACAGAGTGAGACTTTTGTCTCAAAAAAGAAAAAACAAAAAAAAAAAACCACTTTAACTTTCTGTCCTCACTTTGTAACTGTTTGCTGTTTCTATTTGTATATTATTGTCTCTGTTGAAAAGTTATACTTATTATTTTTGGTCTGTTTATCTTTTCATCTTTCTGTTACTACTTAAGATAGGAGTAGTCTACACAGCACAATTTCGATGTTACAGAATTCTGTGTTTGTGTACTTACTGTCTCCAGTCAGCCTTGCACCTGCAGATAATTTCTTCTTGCTCATTAACATCCGTTTTTTTCAGAATGAAGAACCTGCCTGTGGCATTTCATGTAGGACAGGTCTGGTGTTGATGAAATTCATCAACTCTTGTTTGTCTGGGAAAACCTTTATTTATCTTTCATGTTTGAAGGATATTTTTGTTGCATATGCTACTCTAGAGTAAAAATTTTTTTTGTCAGGACTTTACATATGTCATGATGGTCTCTCCTGGCCTGTAAGGTTTCCATTGAAAAGGCTGCTGCCAGATATATTGGAGCTCCATTGTGTTATTCGTTTCTTTTCTTGTGCTGCTTTTAGAATTCTTTTTTATCCTTGGTCTTTGAGAGTTTGATTATTAAACTAATAATGGGTTAAATCTACTTGGTATTCTATGACCATCTTATACTTGAATATTTGTATGTTTCTCTCAGTTTCAGAAATTTTCTGTTATTATCCTTTTGAATAAATTCTGTTTCTCTCTACCTCCTTTTTAAGGCTAGTTACTTTTAGATTTGCCCCATTGAGGCTATTTTCTAGATCTTATAGGCGTGCTTCATTCTTTTTTATTCTTTTTTCTTCTCTGTTTTCAAACAGACTCATAAATCTCATGAATTCTTTCTTCTGCTTGATCAGTTTTGCTGTTAAGAGACTCTGATGAATTCTTTAAATGTCAAATGCATTTTTCAACTTAAGAATTTCTGCTTCGTTTTTAAAAATTAATTTCTTTGTTAAATTTATCTGATAGGATTCTAAATTTCTTCTCTGTTATCTTGAATTTCATTTGAGTTTCCTCAGAGCAGCTATTTTGAATTATCTGTCTGAAAAGTCATATACCTCTGTTTCTCCGAGATTGGCCCCTGGTGCCTTATTTAGTTCTTTTGATTAGGTTATGTTTTCTTCGATGGTCTTGATGCCTTGATGCTAGTGGATGTTTGTCAGTGTCTAGGCATTGAAGAATTAGGTATTTATTGTAGGCTTCACAGTCTTGGCTTATTGTACTCATCCTTCTTGAGAAGGCTATCCAAGTATTCAAACCTACTTGGTAGTTGTGATCAAAGTTTTTGTTCACTACAGCTGTATCTGCATTAGGGCACCCCAAGCCTAGTAATGCTGTAGTTCTTGCACACTTACAGAGATACCAGCTTGGTGGTTGATATAGTTAGGCTTTGTGTCCCTACCCAAATCTCATCTTGTATTATCCCTCATAATCCCCATGTGTCAAGGGAGAGACTAGGTGGAGATAATTGGATCATGGGGGTGGTTTCCCACATGCTTTTCTGGTGATAGTGAGTACATTACATGAGATCTGATGGTTTTGAAAGTGTTTGGTAGTTCCTCCTGTGTTCATTCTTCTTCCTGCTGCCTTGTGAAGAAAGTTCCTGGCTTTCCCTTCACCTTCTGCTATGATTTTAAGTTTCCCGAGGCCTCCCCAGCCATGTGGAACTGTGAATCAATTAAACCTCTTTCCTTTCTAGATTACCCAGTCTCAGGCAGTTCTTTGTAACAGTGTGAGAATGGACTAATACTGTGGTTTTGGATAACATCTGGAAGAATTCTCTGGATTGCCAGGTAGAGACTCTTGTTTTCTTCCCTTACTTTCTCCAAAATGAATGCAGTCTCTCTCTGGCTAAGCTGCCTGGAGCTTGGAGAGGAGTGACACAGCAGTCTTGTTACTACTGTAACATCATTGAGAGTGTACTTGGTCAGATCTGAAGCCAGCAAAGCACTCTGTCTTGCCCACGTCCCACTGTAGCTATTACCTGAGTACAACCTGTGTTCTTTCTAGGCCTTCAGGCTATATACAATTAATATTTCAAGAGTGACTGAAGCCAGCCATTCTTGTGTATTTCCCTTCAGGGTGGTGAATTCCCCTGGGCCCCGGACAGGTTCAGAGTTACAGAGATACCGTCTGGGAGCTAAGGCCTGAAATCAGAAACCTTAGAAATTTCCCTGGGGCTCTATTCAACTATGTTTAAGCTGGTACTGAAATCACAAGACAGAGTGCTTCCTACTTTTCCCTTTCCTTTTCCCAGGCAGTGGGGTCACTCCATGTGTGTACCTCCACACAGGGCCATGGGGAGTACTGCCACATGTTCTTAAGTGAATATTATCACTGTTCTCTTAAGGCCCAAGGGCTCAGCTTTTCATGAATGTTGCCATTCATGGGACTCACCCTTCAGGGCAGTGAGTTCTCTTCTGGCTTAGGATAGGTCCAGAGGTACCATCCATTGTTCTCTGGAATTGGGGACCCCAGGAGCCCACATAGAGCTCTTCCCAACTATGTTTGAGCTGGTACCTAAGCTGCAAGACAAAATTCTCTTTATTTTTCCCTGCCCTTTTCTCAAGCAGAAGGAGTCTCTCCTCATAGCCACCATAGCTGTGAATATGCTGGGTTCACACCTGAAGCTTGCATGTCTCAGTCTTAGCTGAGGCCCACAGTGTGTATTATTTGGTTACTGCTGGTGATTATTCAGGGTCTAAGGGCTCTGTAGTGTCAGCAAGTGATGAATTCCTTCAGGACTTGATCCTTCTCTTCAAGGTAGCAGGTTCCTTTCTGGCTCAGGGTGTGTCTATAAATGTCATCTGGGAGTTAGAGCCTAGAATGGGGACCTCACAACTCTGCCTGATGCCTTATTCAAGTGTGGCTTGAGGTGGTATTTATGTTGCAAAACAAAGTCCTGTTTATTCTTCTCCTCTTCTCAAGGAGAAGGAAGGAATCTCTTTTGGAGCCAGGAGCCTTGCTGCCTATGATTGGGGGATGTATGACACAAGCACTCCCTTAGCCACACTGGCTGGTGTCTCACTAGGCCATGTCCCTCCAAGTCCACTGGCTCTGAGCCCAGCACAGCACTTTAACTTGCCTAGGAGTTATAGTCCTTGTGATCTAGCTACCTTTTCGTGTTATTTATGACCCTGGAGCACTTTAGCCTGTGGTGGTGGGGCTTGCCAAAACTCAAGTTCCAACCTCCAAGCTGTGTGATTGTCCTCTACCTAGGGCTGGTCTAAATGCTCCATTCATTGTCATTGGCTGAGTTCTGCTTGGGGTTGGCAGCACTGCGTTCCAGGGTGTAGTCCTACAGTTGCTGTGCTCTTCTCCCATGTGCGCCAGAAATTCTTCCTCTGTGCCATGTGGTTGCTACGAGCCGATGGGGGAGGGCTGAGGTTAGCAATTCAAGACTGCCTTTTCTATCTTCTTCACTGCCTCTTTCAGCCATATGAAGGTAAGAGCAGGTACTGTGATTGTTTACATGGTTTTTGGTTCTTATGAAGGTACTTTTTATTAGATGGTTGACAAATTTGGTGTTCCTGCAGGGAGGTCGATCAGTGGTGGCTTCTGTTTGGCCATATTGCTCTGTCACCCATTGTAGCTTATTTTTATTTTTAATTTTTGCTGCGAGGGAGTCTTCTTATGTTCCCTAGGCTGTTATCAAATGCTTTACTTCAAGTGATCCTCCCATCTTGGCTTCCCAAAGTGTTGGGATTACAGGCGTGAGCCACTTTGCCTGGCCTGAATAGTATTTAAATAAATCACAAGGACTTTAAACTACAAAATGTCTACTTAGAGCAAAAGGCACCTTATTTGTATGAACTGGAAACAGGGATAATGCTATTTATGGATACATAGCCTATTCTCTTACTAACCTTTCTGGATTAGATCTGCCATCTTTGATTTGCATCTTAGCTTTTATCCTTTCCTGAAGACAGCAGAGATAGTGTTGCTCTAAATGAGTTCATACATGTGTGAAGAATAACTTTAGTGAGCTGTTGGTTTTAAACAGTTATCTATTATTCTATGCAGTTTTATAAGTTCATTTTATAATGAGCAGATTGGTCAACTGACATATTTTTGATTATTTGTAATACGTATATTGCTTGGAATAATACTGTTAATTTCCTGAAATATAAGTGAACCATAGCTTTTCTGTTGGTGGCTTTTAAACTTTTTATGATAGGAAAATAAATGGTGTGAATTTTCTCCTGGGAAGGTATAGACTAGAGACTTAGGTACCAGTAGACTAATTGAAGAATTTCTGTGTAGCAGTTTAGTATAGAAAAGAATTAGCTGTCCATGAGGGCGGGCTTTTAAGAATAACAGCAATAACAACAACAAAAAAGAAGAATTAGCTGTTAGGTAGCTGTGGCTTGAGATTGGCACGTCAGAGACAGAACTGTTGCTTTATTAACAATGTACTTTTCATACTAATGGAAGTATTAAAGGTATATAGCCAAGGTTATTGTGACTGGGTGCACTGGCTCACGCCTCCAATTTCAGCTCTTTGGGAGGTCAGGAGTTTGAAATCAGGAGTTTGAAATCAGGCTGGCCAACATGGCGAAACCGCATCTCTGCTAAAAATACAAAAATTAGCTGAGTGTCATGGGACATGCCTGTAGTTCCAGCTACTAAGAAGGCTAAGACACAAGAATTGCTTGAACCCGGAGGTACAGGTTGCAGTGAGCCAAGATCACGCTACTATACTCCAGCCTGGGTGATGGAGTGAGACTCTGTCTCTAAAACAAAACAAAGCCAGTAAATAGCCCAGATTATTGACATCTAATTTCATGAAATACTACTCATTCTATTCAAGTGTATAGAAAATTTAATTTTGGTAATGTTACATTTTAAAGGCAATAGCATTCAGGACATAGGTATGGGCAAAGATTTCATGATGAAGTTGCTAGAAGCAACTGCAATAAAAGCAAAAATTGACAAATGAGATCTAACTAAAGAGTTTCTGTACAATCAAAGAAACTGTCAGCAGAGTAAACAGACAACATACAGAAGGGAGAAAATATTTACAAACTTTATCTGATAATATTCTCATATCCAGAATCTATGATGATTTGCCATCCATGAATCTTCTTTGGTGAAATGCCGTCTTTTGTTCATTAAAAAAATGGATTTGTTGGCGGGGTGTGGTGGCTCATGCCTGTAATCCTAGCACTTTGGAAGGCCAAGGCTGGCAGATCACTTGAGGTCACGAGTTGATGACCAGCTTGGCCAATGTGGTGAAACCTTGTCTCTACTAAAAAATACAAAAATTAGATGGGTGTGGTGGCACACACCTGTAATCCCACCTACTTGGGAGGCTGAGGCATAAGAATCGTTTGAACCCGGGAGGCAGAGGTTGCAGTGAGCCGAGATCACGCCACTGCACTCCAACCTGGGCAGCAGAGCGAGATTCCATCTCAAAAAATAAATAAATAAATAAAAATAAAAATTTCTTTGTATTTATTGAGTTGTTGTATGTTTTGTAGATATTTTCTTCCCTGCTTTGGCTTGCCCTTTTCATTTTTGTAGTGTTTTTTAAAGATCAAACGTTTTTTTAAATGAAGTCAATTTATTGATTTTGTTCTTCTCTAGTTTTCTTTTGTGGTCTGTTAAGAAATGTTTGCAGCCAGGCACGGTGGCTCACACCTATAATTCCCGCACTTTGGGAGGCTGAGTTGGGTGAATCGTGAGGTCAAGAGATCAAGACCATCCTGGCCAACATGGTGAAACCCCATCTCTACTAAAAATGCAACAATTAGCTGGGTGTGGTGGCACGCGCCTGTAGTTCCAGCTACTCAGGAGGCTGAGGCAGGAGAATTGATTGAATCAGGGAGCTGGAGGCTGCAGTGAGCCAAGATTGCACCACTGCACTCCAGCCTGGTGACAGAGCGAGACGCCATCTCAAAAAAAAAAAAAAAAGTTTGCTTAACCCTGTTCAGCCTGTTCAGTAAGTTTTTTTTTCTCAGTGTTTTCTTGTAGAAGTTTAGGTCTGTGATCTATTTCAAGTTAAATTTTATAAATGTCCCGTGGTAAGGGTTGAAGTTTTTTTTTTAATTATTATTATTAAATTCTTTGCATCTGGCTCTCCAGCTTGTTTCATTAACATTTGCTTTATACATTTTCCCATCTTTATTGGCACCTTTTATATAAAAAAAATTTGACTATATATATGGGTCATGTCTGCTTTATTGATCTTTTTGCTTGTCTTCTCTCTCTCTCTCTCTCTCTCTCTCTCTCTCTCTCTCTCTCTTTCTTTCTTTTTTTTATTCTGAGACAGTCTTGCTCTGTTTTCTGGGCTAGAGTGCAGTGAAATGAAAATGACTTACTGCAGTCTTCATCTCCTGGGCTCAAGTAATCCTCCTGCTTTAGCCTTCTGAGTAGCTCGGACCACAGGCATGTGCTACCACGCCTGGCTAATTTTTGGAATTTTTGTTAAGATAGGGGTCTCACTTTGTTGCCAAGGCTGGTCTCCAACTCCTGGGCTCAAGTGATTCTCTCAAAGTGCTGGGTTTACAGATGTGAGCCATTGTATCCAGACTTTGCCTGTCTTTATACAGTACCACACTGCATTGATTACTGTAGCTTTCATAGTAAGTCTTGAAATTAGGTAGTATGGGTATTCTAACTCTGTTCCTCTTTTTCAAAGTTATTTTGGCTTTCTTTGTCCTTTATGTTTTCATATACCTTTTATAATTAACTTTTCAATTTCTACAAAAAAATCTTACTGAGATTTAGAGTGGGATTGCATTGCATGTATAGATCAATTTGATGTGAATCAAGATTTTACTACTAGTAAGTCTTTTAATCCAAACAGTATATGTGTTTCTCAAAGCAGAGGGCCATAGTTTTGTCTGTTTGTGTGTGTACGATTTTATCCCTTTATTTGACAATGATTGGTTAGTTGTTGTCCACATTGACTTTCGATAGATTTTTCAAGGTGGTGACAGGTACATAGGTAATCAATGCATAGAGCTTGTTTGGTGAATGTTCAGCCTCCTCATGTTTTCTGGATAACCGCATATAGGTACCTATGGGATATTTCTTATTCCTTTGGTCCTGACAGCTTTGTTTTGCCTGGTGTCAATGTGCACATCTAGAGTTTCCATCTCCTTCATGGCAAGTTTCTGGATCTCTTTGAGTGCCTGAGGGGCATGCTTCTTGAAGCCCACTCCATGAATGTAGATGGTGTCTTCTTCGGTCACCACCTTCCTGATAGCAGAATGATTCTTCTTCTTGGCACCCAGCTTTGTGGAGCTGTTTTCTGCTGGACCTAAGTTGGAAAGGAAGAGCATGAAAGATTGTCTCTGATTATTTACATTTTCTTTAATTTCTCTGAGCATGTTTTGTAGTCATCATTGTGAAGTCTTGTATATTTTTGTCAAATTTATCCTTAAGTTTTTTTCTATTTGTTAATGTAAATGGTATTTTTTTTAAAGTTCAATTGCTTATTGGTCATTGCTGATCTATAGAAATATGACTGAGTTTTGTATTTTGAATTTTTTTACTGCCTTGCTAAACTCACGTATTCTAGCAGTTTTTTTCTGCAGATTTCATAGTGTTGTCTGTAGAGCTGATCATAACTGTGGATAAAGACAATGTTATATTCTTCCTTACTAATATGTATGCATTTAGTTTCTTGTATGATTGCATTGCTAGAATTTCTAGTGTAATATTGAATAGAAGTGATGAGTAGACATTCCTGGCCATGTTCTAGATCTGAGGGTGAAAGTAGCCTTTTGCCACTAACCAGGATGTTAGACGCAAATTTTTCATATGTCCCCTTTATTAGACAGAGGGAGTTACCTTATATTCCCATATTCTTGAGAGTTTTTAAAGATCAGGAATGGATGATTTTCGTCCAGTGTTTTTTTGTGTCTGTCATAGGAGAGAGAGGGTCGATTGCAGTGCAGTGGCATGATCACAGTTCACTGCAACCTTGAACTCCTGTGCTGAAGTGATTCTCTTGCCTTAGCCTCCTGAGCAGCTAGGACTACAAGTGTGTGCCACCATGCTTGGCTCATTAAAAAGAAAATATAAAGATGGGTCTTGCCATATTGCTCAGGCTAATCTTGAACTCTTGGCCTCATGGGATCCTCCTATCTTGGGCTCCCAAAGTACTGGGATTATAGGGATGAGCCACCATGCCTGGCCCTGATTTTAGTTCTTGAGGTCAAGTTTAATACACTCAAATTAAAAAATCTATTTGTACCATTCAGTTAATTTTGGCAAGCCCATCCACTTATGTAAATCAAATCCTTTTTTAAGATACAGATCATTACAATTACCTAGAAAGTTCTCCCATACTACTTCTTAGACATTCCCAACCCATAACCCCAAAGGCAAGTCCTGTTCTGATTTTCTTCCATAAACTAGTTGTGCTCTTTCTACAACTTCACATAAATAGAATCATGTTGTATATATGTGTATCTGTGTGTGTGTATGAGACAGACTTCTTTTGCTTGGAATAACATTTTTGAGATTAATCTATGTCGTTGCCTGTTTCAGTAGTTTTTATTTAATGCTTTGTAGTGTAACTTAATATAATGTCATATTATTGCTTTATACCCTACTACATGGTCAATTTTCTTGAATGTTGTTAGTGTTCCTGAGAAGATTGGATGTTCTCTTTTCATTGGTTTTATATTTCTCTATCTGTCCTTTCAGTTAATCTAGTTAATATGTTATTCGTTTCTTCTTAATTCATTTAAAAATCTGTTGTTTCATATTTATACTGTAATTCTTCATATTTTAAAGTTATTTTTAAATTTAAAGATAACAAAATAGATTTTTTGTGGCATATAACTTTATGGGTTTTGATAGATGCATACAGTTGGGTCTCCAAACAAAAATCAAGATGCACAACAGTTTCATCAACTCCCCAGAAACCCTCATGTTGCTCTATTATCAACCCTTCCATCAGTGGAAATTGCTGATTTGTTTTTCATCCCCTCAGTCTTGCCCTTTCCTCAATGCCATACAAATTTTGTTTCACTTAGCAAATGCACTGAGATTCACCTATGTTGTTGCATGTATTAAAAATTGTTACTTTTTATTCCTGAGTAGTAATGTATGAATATACTGTAGTTTGTTTCTGTATTCACTGGTTGAAAGACATTTGGGTATTTTCATTATTTTGGCAATTAGGAATGAATCTGCTATAAACGTTTCAGTACAGGTTATTTTGTGAACATAAGTTTATTTATTTTTTTTGCCAAATACCTAGGATTGGGATTGTTACATTTCATGTACATGTAATTTTAATTTTATATGATTTGGAAGATTTTAAACTATAGATTCTGTCTTTAAACTCTGTTCAGGGTATCAGTTTCTTCTTGAATGAGACTTGGTCGTTTTTGTCTTTCACAAAATATGTCCGTTTTATCTGTTGAATTTATAGGCCTACAGTTGTTTCTCAGCTTCACAGATTATCTTTTTAATACATATGCAAACCATGATAAAGACATGTCTCTCCTTAATGTTTGAAATTTGTATCTTCTTTCGAGGTTTATGAATTTTATAATTTTTTAAGAACCAGATTTTTGGATTCTTTGATTTTCTCTAGTAACTTTCTGTTTTCTATTTAGTTGACTTCTACTCTGATCTTTATTATTTTCTTTCTTCTGCTTACTTTTGATTTAGTATTTTGAGTTTAACATAATACAGACAAATTTAATTTCTCTCTGGAAGTAAATTGACAGATTTCGAACCCTAAATCCAGATTCCTGTGGAATGCGTGTATGTGGTATTTAGGAGAAAACAGAAGACAGAACTTTGGAGATAAATAAATTGTGGTATTGTTTTTAATTAGTAGAAGAACGGAGGATTTTTCTTTTGGATATTGATCTTTCTGCCTGTTCATCTAACTTTATTTCAAACTCTGAATGAAGTATATCTGTAAATTATTAAAGGTAGAATTCCCACGATAAGCATTTTGATGTTTATAATACACACAGCCACTTGTGTTAAATATGTGGCATCTTTTAAGTGGGGCAAAATTGCTATCTGGCAGAATAAAATTTTATTTTTGTCTCTAATGTTAGCAGTTATTTCACCTAAAGGACTATATAATGTTTACTTGAATTCAAAATAGTCATTTAAGTCCCCAGGTCTTCCCAAATGAGTAGCCTCTACCTCAACTAAGGTATATGGCGTTTCTGGAGTTGTTTTCATTTGGTATGCTGTGATATATTGGAGTAAGTAATTTCTGTAATGTATGGCGTGGAATTTGTATTCCCGTTTTAGGTTGTCTTCCAAAGCCTGAATTAAGGAAATATGTTGCTTCACTGTTTGAACATTCTATTTAAATATTAAAGCAGATTTGTTTTTCTCTGTAAATAGAAGTAATTTTCTTTTTGAGAGATGAAATTGGCTTATCTGTTTTGGGTTCTATTTTTAAATGCTTATTTCTTTTGTAGTCTTCAAGAAGAGATATAGGTGGTATTACAATTGGAGAATTGATGAAGGGATGTGACATTTATAGCACTGTAAGAAAATTATTTTGTTTACTTTTCTAATCACTTAATGTCACATTTTATTTTTTTAGATCCTGTTTGACCAAACTCAGAGATCAATTAAGGCACAGCTTCAGAACTTTGTTAAAGAGTAAGTCAATTGCAGTGAAGAGGAAAGAAAATCAACTAGTTAATGATTAATCTGGGAGTTGGTATCTTTTGGAAGAAATTATATACCATGAGTTATTGAAAATATTGGAGGTTGTTTGCTTTGTGAAATGTATGCTGCATTTCTTCCTGAATTACTGTGTAAGAAAATCTGACTTGATGTCTTTCAGTAAATCACTTATTCCATGAATATGTGTTCTGGAGGATACTTAGCTAGGATACATAGCAATAGGTTTAAAAAATTGCTTTAATGTAAATAATCTTTTTTTTGAGACGGAGTTTTGCTCTTGCTACCCAGGCTGGAGTGCAATGGCGCGATCTCGGCTCACTGCAACCTCCGCCTCCTGGGTTCAGGCAATTCTCCTGCCTCAGCCTCCTGAGAAGCTGGGATTACAGGCACGTGCCACCACGCCCAGCTAATTTTTTGTATTTTTAGTAGAGACGGGATTTCACCATGTTGACCGGGATGGTCTCGATCTGTTGACCTCGTGATCCACCCACCTCAGCCTCCCAAAATGCTGGGATTACAGGCTTGAGCCACCGCGCCCGGCCTAATGTAAATAATCTAATTGGCCTTTCACAATCCAAAGCAAACCCCTAAAGGGGTTGAAATACTATTAGTTATTGTAGTTGAAACTATGTTTTCCATTATTTCAGTGTGGCATTTTCTTTGAAGAGAAGATAATGGAATATATGAGAATGAGTCATGAAAGTACATAATTTTTGTTACATATGAGTATTTTCTGTCACATTCATCACATTTTCTTTGTGAAATAAAATAGAACTAGAAATTTAAAAAATCAGTAATTTCTGTATTAGGAAAGTATTTCTTTTTCACATTAATAATACAGTTTTTCTCTTTAGATTCCTGATTGAGAATATATAAAATTACAGATAAAGTTGATTGTAATAGAGCTGTAAAGTGGTGTTAGATCTCATTAAGATAGTACACTGTTTTAATAGGTTAGAATTTGTTGTTCTGGAGGTTATGTATTACAGCCTTCCTTCCTTCCTTCCTTCCTTCCTTCCTTCCTTCCTTCCTTCCTTCCTTCCTTCCTCCCTCCCTCCCTCCCTCCCTCCCTCCCTCCCCCCCCCCCCCCCCCCCCCAGGCTGGAGTACAGTGGCTTGATCATAATTCACTGTAATCTCGAATTCCTGGGCTGAAGTGATCCTCCGGTCTCAGCCTCCTGAGTAGTTAGGACTATAGACATGCACCATCGCTTCTGGCTAATTTATCTTTTATTTTTTATTGTTTGTAGAGACAGGTCTCACTGTGTCGCCGAGGGTAGTCTCAAACTCCTGGCCTCAAAGCAATCTTCTTACCTTGACCTCCCAAAGCACTGGGTTTACAGACATCAGCCAGTACACCGAACCAGATTCTTTATAAATTACTGTGTAATAGATTAACACTCAGAACGTCTTTGTAGAATGCACACATGACAGTTTATGGCTTCTTTCAAAGAGTTGAATATATTTCTTACATATACTTTATTATGATGTTTATAAAATCATTTGTCTTCAAGTTATTTTACCTAACTCCCTAGTAGAAAAATAAAAGCAAAGGGATGTTATATGACTAAGATCATTCATGAACCAAGTGTTTCAGATTTTCAGACTATTAAAAGGGATACTGTTACTCTTTACTGATGCAATGATTCTTTCAGAAATTGATGTGTTCCAGCTTAGGGAATAATGTGAGACCACAGAAATAAAAAATAAAAATTAGACTTTGGTGGTGGTATGTGACTGTATATAGTCCCAGCTACTTGAAAGGCTTGAGGTGGGAGATTGCTTGAGTCCAGGAGTTCAAGGCTCTAGTGAGCTCTGATCTTGCCACAGCATGAGAAACAAATGTTTCTTAAAGTGTGGTCTGTAGACCACCTGTAGTAGTAAAATTAAGAATGTGTCTTAAAAATAAACTCAGATTTCTAGCATTTGTCGTGAAGGCCAAAGAAGTACAATCTCTCAGAAAGGATTCTGGAATTTGCATTTTTAACAAGTGCCCTATAGTGATTCTTATGTATACTACTGTTTAAAAATCATTTGGTGAAATAATGGTACATGTCACTGACATTGTCTTTAGAAAGACAGTTAACTTTTCCTTCATGTTTCTGTAATGTTAACTTGATAATTTATTTTCGCCTCAAGTTATGTAGATTTAAATAATGAAATTTTAGCTGACTTTCTCAGGATTTATACAAAATTGAGAAACTATATATTGTTTTAGTTTGAAGAGTAAATGTATTTCAGTGAGAGGTGAAACAAAAAATGGAGGAACATAGGAATTAAATTCTAAATGTTACTTTACTAAAGTGTTTTTTTTTTTGAGATGGAGTGTTACTTGTCGTTCACGTTTGCACATCGCTCAACCTCCTGGGTACAAGTGATTCTCATTGCCTCAGCCTCCCGAGTAGCTGGAACTACTGGCATGTGCCACCATGCCCAGCTTATTTTTTTGTATTTTTAGTAGAGATGGGGTTTCACCATGTTGGCCAGGATGGTCTTAATCTCTTGACCTCATGATCCACCCACCTCGGTCTCCCAAAGTAATGGGATTACAGGTGTGAGCCACCACACCCAGCCTGCTAAGGTTTTTTGATGAAGCAAGTTATAAAAGTTTCACCAAGTTTTTCTTTTTTTAGAGATCTTAGAAAATTCAAAGATGCCAAGAAGCAATTTGAAAAAGTCAGTGAAGAAAAAGAAAATGCATTAGTAAAAAATGCCCAAGTACAAAGAAACAAACAACATGAAGTTGAAGAAGCCACCAACATTCTGACAGCAACAAGAAAATGTTTTCGACACATAGCCCTTGATTATGTGCTTCAGGTATGTATTTTCTTACTGTGTATGTTTTCAGAAAGTGCCTACTAAACGGGTTTTTACTTTTGAGTGATTGTCCTAAGAAGTATAAATACTTTTACTTTGAGGTTAAAGTTAAAACATTATCTTTTGTGGAAAATTTCCATCTGTATGGCTGTTCATGTGTGTATGGATATATAGTCCTTTGGTTCTGAGTTCTGCAGCTTTTCTCTTAACATTATATTCCACATTTAAAAATGTTTAAAAAGCATTTTTAGTTGCTATATTTTATTCTCTGGAATTGCTATATCAATTTAATTATCCTTTATTATACCAATTTATTATTTCAGTAAATTTAGGGGTACAGGTGGGTTTTTGGTCACATGATGAACTGCATAGTGGTGAGGTGTCGGCTTTCAGTGTATCTGTCACTCCAGTAGTATACATTGTACCCAATAGGACATTTTTCATCCCTCACCTTCCTCCTACTTTCCCCCTTTCTGAGTCTCCAGTGTACATGAAACCACTCTGTATGCCCCTGAGAACCTATAACTTAGCTCTTACTTATAGGTGACAATATATGGCATTTGGTTTTCCATTCCATTGTTACTTGATTTAGGATAAGGGCCCCTTGTTCAATCTAAGTTGCTGTAAAAGACATTTATAGTATTCAAGTTTTACTGGCAATAGGGAAAATATAATTTTCAGTAATTGTAAGTGATAATAACATCTTTACATTTCTTATTTCTTTAGAGTAGATTCTTAAAGGTACTAAGGCTCACCATATTGCCAAATAAAAAATCTTTCTAGAAGTAGTGTTATCATATTTTTGCATTAGGTGCTGTTTTTAAAAACTAGAAATCTGTATTTGGTAAGTTGCTTGGTCATCTTTCAGTCTAATTTATAATTGAAACTAGTGTGAGTGTGATAAGTCTCCAAAGATACTTGAGACACATGAAAACTGAAGGCATGTTTATATTGTGTGTTTCTGTATATTATGGAATTTAAAGCCTTAAAAACCTTTAAAGCTTAGGGAATTACCTTATGTAAATCTCCTTTCACAAAACAGTAGTGGTTGTCCTCAGAGATTGTTTACTTCACGATGATCACAGAGTACTTCCTTAAAAAATATACAAGCAGCCAAATAGAAATTAGTGATTAAAAATTACTTAGGTAACTTTGCAAAACAGTAGAAAATTAAGTTTTTTTCTATTGAGTTCGTATTCTGTAAGTGGGAAGTTAAATTTTTTAAATGAATATACTTTACTTTTGGAGAAAGGGTTACTAGACTAGCATAGTCTGTTTCCTAGGTCCTGTAACCTACCTCACATTCATACATCATTTTCTGCTGTAGTATGAGTACTCACCCTGCCTAACCCACTGAAATGGCTCATGCAAGCGTTTTATTCACTAGACATATTTCAATTTTTAACCAACTTGACTATTCTGTTTCATGGCAGTGGTAGACCACACTCTCCTTCTTGAAACAATCTTTTATCTTGATTTGTCTGAATCTGCTTTTAGGTCTTCCTTCTAACTTCGGTTTCTTTCCCATTTCTGTCTTGGGCTTCACTCCTTTGTCTGCCTTTTTACTTTCCTTTGTAGGGTTCTATCTTTGGTTTTATTATTTTCTTACTTTATTGTTTTCTGTCAGTCTCATCATACCCCTTGCTTGAATCACTACCTGTTATTATAGGTAGATGACCAAATATTTTTTCACAGAGGTACTTCGTTGTCGTTGTGTTCATAACTGAAGTCTCTCATCTTCCAAAATGGCTTCTCTTTCTGTTTTGCTTTCAATCTAATTGAATGGTGTCACTCTTTTACTCTCACAGTAGTTCAAAATGAGAGAATTGTATCAGATATTCTCCTCATTCTAAGCCATTACATCTAGTTGCCAAAATGTCTTGAAAATTTCTCCTGTGTCCCTCTTAAATTGATTCTTTCTTCACCCTTGCTGCAGCCCTAACCAAGTCTTATTGTTTCTTCCCTGGGGTATTAAGATATTCTCATAAAATTTGTCTGCCTTGCAATGCTTTTACCTGCCCTGTCATTAATTCATTCTCTGTTTTTTGATTAGGGTTACTCAGACTTCTCCAGGCCAGAGGAATTATTTTTGCCTCTGCCTTCTCTGTGTTGCCATATTTTCGTACACATTGAAGTTAGACTACTTATATGTTTATTGTAAATATTTATTTATATATATTTTTCTATTTCTAAATTGTATCCCTAGCATCTAGTTTTGTGGTTAGAAAATAGATACGTAATAATTGTTCTTTGAGAGAGCAAATGGCTTAATGTTACAAATTTTATTTTAGGAGGATTAGCTAAAATTTTTATTATTTTTAAACTTATACATTATTTTCTTGGGTGTCCATACAATAGGTGTAAGTTAGGAATGCTCACACCGCCTCCCCACCACCACCTCCCCTACCTCCCAACAAATAACTATGTTTGTGATTTTTCTGATGGGAACTATGGCATCATTTTATGGCCTTTATTTCATTTATGTCTGCTTTAGAGAATAGTAAGTAAATAAATATCCAAATGTATAAAATTTGTCATGCTTAAATTCTCTAAATACTTGAGTTTACTTTTTTCTGCCAATAATTTAAATGCTGTATAATATAATTTAAATATTATATAAAAATCCTATTTTTATAGCATTTACATTTTTATATATAACATTTAAATTTAAAAATTTTATATAGCATTTAAATTTTTTTCAACTAGAAAAAACATATAAAGCAGACATTTTAACATAATTCAACATTTGTGAGTAGTAGGCTATTTGCAGCTTCTGCTTTACTTAGAGCATTTGAAAGTTAATATTGTAGTTCTCCAAAGTCAATAGGCTTTGAAATACATGCAGAAGAAACTAGTCTTGTTTGTGGGTTTCTTTTTGAGAAGGAATCTCACTTTGTCACCTAGGCTGGAGTGTAGTGATGTGATCCCAGCTCACTGCAGCCTCCATCTCCAGGGTTTAAGTAAGTGATTCTCCTGCCTCAGCCTCCGAAATAGCTGGGATTACAGGCACCCACCACCACGCCTGGCTAATTTTTATATTTTTAGTAGAGATGGGGTTTCACCATGTTGGCCAGGCTGGTCTCAAACTCCTGACCTCAAGTGATTCACCTGCCTCGGCCTCGCAAAGTGTAAGGATGAGCCATCGCGCCCAGCCAGAAACTAGTTTTTTTTTTTTTTTTGAGACAGAGTTTCGCTCTTGTTACCCAGGCTGGAGTGCAATGGTGCGATCTCGGCTCACTGCAACCTCTGCCTCCTGGGTTGAGGCAATTCTCCTGCCTCAGCCTCCTGAGTAGCTGGGATTACAGGCACGTGCCACCATGCCCAGCTAATTTTTTGTATCTTTAGTAGAGACGGGGTTTCACCATGTTGACCAGGATAGTCTTGATATTTTGACCTCGTGATCCACCTGCCTCGGCCTCCCAAAGTGCTGGGATTACAGGCTTGAGACACTGCACCCGGCCGAAACTAGTCTTATAGTTAAGTAAAGTTACTTAGATTTTTCTTGTACTGTTTTAATGTTTTATTTAGTGCTTTAAAATTATTTGATAAAATATAGAATTCAGTGGGAAGGACATATTTAAAAGATATTTTATAGTCTTTTGACAGTATTGGCAAAAAGTGAATGATTCTTTTCTTAGATAAACATTTTATTTCATTAAGCCGATATATAATAACAGACAAAAATAAAATGTTTGTTGTGAATTTCTAGATTTGAGAGAGATTCCATCAAAGGCCAAATATCTTAATTTAATGATCTTTCAGTAAATTTAGTCTAATTAAAACATTTACTTAAGATCTGGCTGGGTGCAGGGGCTCATTCCTGTAATCCCAGTACTTTGGGAGGCCAATGTGGGAAGATTGCTTGAATTGAGCAGCTTGAGACCAGATTGTGCAACATAGTGAGAACCGATCTTTACGAAAAGTAAAAAAAATTAGCTGGGTCTGGTACTATGTACCTATAATCCCAGCTACTTGGGAAGCTGAGATGGGAGAATTGCTAGGGGCTAAGGCAGGGGGATTGTGTGGCCAGGAATTTCATACTGCAGTGAGATCTGATCATGCCACTGCACTCCTGCCAGAGTGGGCAACAGAGTGAGACTCTGTCTTTAAAAACAAAACAAAATCTGTTAATTTATTTAAGAAATATTTATTGAGTGCTTAGTGTTGCTACTACAGCTGGGAATAAGATAGAGACACTGGTCTCACTAGAACTTACACTTTGGTTAGGGAAAATACACAAATAAACCAGAAAATATAAGGTAGTTATAAATGTTCTGAGTAAAATGAATAGGTTTAGTGTACTAGACAGTGCATACGAAGCTACTGTAGACCTTTGTGAGGAGGTGATATTTAAGTTGAGACCTGACTGGTGTAAGATGGCATTGTATCCATCTAGGCAGAACGTCATAACATATAGACAGAACAGTCAGTACAAAGGCATTGAGGTAGGCGCGGTCCTGGGCTATGGTTGGTGCACAGAAAGGGGGAAAGTAATAGAAAACTAGATTGAAGAAGTAGGTAGAGGCCACATCACAGTGGGCCTTGCCAGCCATGGTAGGAAGTTGGAGGGTGTTATGGTAGAGGTAACATGATCTTATTTGTATTTTTATTATTTATATTGATGAACAATTAGAATAAAGAGGGTGTAAAAAAAGATGGAATTCCCAGAACTTAAGATGTCAAAATAGTTCCATCGCTCTAATATAGTTTAAATAACTAGCTTTTCTTTTAGCTCGGAAATGTAAGAGGATTTTATGGGAATGTTTGTCTTAACTGTGTTTTGCAAAGGGATGGTCGAAAGATCAAAAACTTGAGCTCTGTTTTTGTTTGCTTTTTGGAAAAGTATTAACTATTAAAATAAACAAGTTTTACAATATTACATTATGGATTAACTTTAAAATAATGCATGGGTGATTAACCAGATGTGTTTTCCCTCAGATTAATGTTCTTCAATCAAAAAGGAGATCAGAAATCCTAAAATCAGTAAGATACTAATTGAAATGATGTTTTAAATATTTTAATATGAAACTAAATGTACATAGGTGTTGAAAGAGCATCTGGTATATACATGGTAAGGTTTATGATTGCTCTTCTTTTTGATCTTCATTTGTATTTCATATGTGGCACTGAACTTTTTTTTGTCTCCTTCATGTTATGGTTATCTGTGTGTCTCATCTTTTGATACACTGTGAGGTCCATAAAGGCAGACTGTGTACTGTTCCAGTTTTGTTTTCTTTTATACTCTTATGTTGCTTTACATGCACTGGATGCCCAGTATCATTTTGTGAATAACTAAAAGTGTTTGGTGTGAAAACCTGTGAGAATATTTCAGAATTGTTTTAAGAGTTACGAACATAAAAAAACTGTTACATTTAGGCTTTGGATTTTTTCTCACTTGTTTTGCCTTAAACATTTTTGCCCAACCTCTTTCAACATATTTACATTTTTCTCTGTGATTTTTTGCATTGTTTGGACTTTAAAAATATTTGAGATTGAGGATTTACATGCATAGTATCATTTGGAGAATTTTTCCGTTAAAGTTGAGGATGGGTCAGTCTTTTGGTTTGTTCTTTGGTATGCAGTTACAAAACCAGTGGGATGAAATTTGGTGATCACTTTTTTGCTTGAGCCTCTTCACCCACATGATGATTGTTTTTTGGTGAGGAGCCCTTTTTGTGATCTTAAAGCTAATGAAGGCCAGTTGCCAGGGCTCATGCCTGTAATCCTAGGACTTTGGGATGCCAAGGTGAGTGGATCACCTGAGGTCAGGAGTTCAAGACCAGCCTGTCCAATGTAGTGAAATGCCGTCTCTACTAAAAAATACAAAAAAATTAGCTGTGCGTGGTGGCAGGCACCTGTAATCCGATCTACTTTTGGAGGTTCAGGCAGGAGAATCACTTGACCCTGGGAGGCGGAGGTTGCAGTGAGCTGAGATCACGCCATTGCACTCCAGCTGGGTTACAAGAGTGAAACTCTGTCTCAAAGAACCCCCAAAAAACAAAAAACAAATCAAAAACAAACTAATGAAGAAGTGGACAGGGCATGATGTGGTATAGCATAGCACTCTTTATATTTTAATAGCCTTAGTAATAATCTCTGAACTTTGAATTATTTACTGACTTTTCCCCCAAAAGGCTATATTTAAGTTGCCTTAGATTCTGTCCCCACCTTGCTTTTTGCTAAATTTTATGTATATATTTGTGTCATATCTTATTAGGTAAACACATTGTACTTCCTGTTTTTAAAAAGATAATATTTATACCTCTCTTGTTTTCCAGACTGACAGTAATGTGTATTAATTGTAGAAAATTAGAATGCATATGAAGAAAAAATAAAAACTATCTAGAAATTCTGCTACCAAGGGGGAGCCACTATTAATATCTTGGCATTCACCTTCGTCTTTTTCTCTCTTTCTCTGTGTGTGCATGTATGTGCGCGCACATGCGTGCATGCGTGTGTGTGTGTGTGTACATGAACTTGTATATATACCTTTTAAAATCATATTTTTTAATTGGAATCATTTCCCCATACTATTTTATAACTTTCTTTTTTCACTGATTCACTGCAAAGTTATATGTCATTAAATATCCTTTATTTAATGATGGCTTTTGCGGCCAGGTAGAAATCTACCACGTGAATATACTAGGGGTTGCCAAATGTTTTTTGTAAAAGTCCAGGTAGTAAATATGGTAGGTTCCATAGGCCTCATGGTCTTTGTTGAAATTACTCAACTGTGCTATTATAATGAGAAAGACAGTATGTAAATGAATGGTCATGGCTGTGTTCCAATAAAACTTATTTAGAAACATAAAAATTTGAATTTCATATAATTTTCACATATAAATTTTATATATTTTATTATCTTTAAATCATTTAAAGATGTAAAAACCATTCATAGCTCATGGACTATCAAAAAACAGCTGGTAAGGCCTAATTAAGTTTGCAGGCCATAGTTTACTGACCTTGAAGAAATATACCACAAATTAATTTCACCTATTAATGAATATTCAAATAATTTCCTTGTTTTTGACATTAAAACATTGCTAGCATTGTCGTGATCATTCTAATGAATAATCCTGTTATTTTCCTAGGTTAGATTTATAAACTAGAGATAACATAGTCAAAGGATTTAGGCTTTAGAAAAATATTGTCCAATTTCAAGGATTATACAATATTTCCCCTAATATTGTGTGAAAATGAATATTTCTTCACATTTTACCAACACTGAGCATTCCAGTTCCCCCCCCCCCAAGCTCCCCCTAGTTTGGTGGATAGAAAGCATGATCTCATTATTCAGTTTTGCATTTTGTTAATACAAATGAGTTTAAACATTTTTTCATATATTTTTTTTGGCCACTTATGTACCTCCTATATCGTTTATCCCTTTTTCTGTTGGAGTGTTCATCTTTTTCATGTTGATTTGTAACATCTCTTACATCTTAAGACTGTTAACTCCCTGTCATGTGTTTTTTCCTAGTTTATAATTTGTCTTTTAATATGCTTGTTTTGCATTTTAATGTACAGGCATATTTTATATTTTTATGTAGTTCTAGCAATCCCACCCCTCTTTTAAAATTTTTTATTGATTTTTCAAATAATTTATTTGTTTTTATTATATTCACAAATTTGGGCAATGATTACTGTTATCTAATTCCAGAATAATTTTTCTCTTCTGAGTTTTACCTTTTGTCTCTGTGTTTTAATGGTTTTTTTTTAATAGGTTTTTTTTGGAGGATTTTTGAGTATTAAGGACTTTATGACCTATTTTAGACTTCAGAAAATTGAACAGATGCCACTTGTTAAAAATAATATGGATGTTTAGAATATTTTTTCAGTATTATTCATGTAATTATATAATTCCTTTTATGTAAAAACTTAATGAAAATGAGGGTGATTTTTCTCTTTAAAATAGGTAAAATATGGGAAAACCTGGACAAATCTCAGCCAATTAATGTTAGGTTTTTAAATTTGGTGGTATGACTAAAGAAACCTCCATATTGGCAAATTCAGTTGACTCATTTTATTTTGGTATCTTGAGAGAAAAACCAGCTTTCTCCTACTTGAGATTGTGCTTGATGCTCTAATAGATTGTAAAGTGTTTGTGTTTTATTTTGAGTACTTTATGTTCCTCTGTCTTATCTTTTTGTCTTTTCTTACAATTTAAAATTTATCAGTGAGCTTGGTTGAAGGAGCACATAAAAATGGATGTAGAAAGAAAGTAGAGTTACTGAAAATTGGATTATTTGAATCTGCTGTATACATTTTGGTCACCTAGATATACTCTAAACAACTAAAATTTGGGACATTAAAAAAACTTTAAACCACTGGGAAATTTCTTTTAAATAAAACTTATTTTCATTGTATTTGAAAACATTTTTGAAATACTCTTTTAAAACAGATGACTCAGTTTAATTTTCAAATAGGTTTGATGAGCTGGGCACAGTGGCTCATGCCTATAATCCCAGCACTTTTAGAGGCCCAAGTGGGAGGATTGTTTGAGCCCAGGAGTTCAAGATCAGCCTGGGTAACGTGGTGAGACTTTGTCTTTACAAAAGAATAAAAAAATTAGCTGAGTATGGTGGCACATGCCTGTGGTCCCAGCTACTTAGGAAGCTGAAATGGGAGAATCTCTTGAGCCTGGGAGGTCCAGGTTGTAGTGAACTGTTCTTTGTGCCACTGTATGCCAGGCCTGGGCAATAGAGCAAAATCCTTTCTCCTGTCTGTCTGTCTGTCTGTCTACATAAAAGATTTCAGAATGTTTAGGTCTAGATTTTAAAATGGTCATCTTTTTTCCCCCCGTTAGATGTTATCATTTATGTATGCCCATTTGGCCTTCTTTCATCAAGGATATGATCTGTTTAGTGAACTTGGACCCTACATGAAGGATCTGGGTGCACAGGTAATGTTGCACTATATTTCTTAATTCAGTTTTATACACTGATGTTTGTATTTTTAAAGAAATTTAGCATATTGGAGGTGTATTAGTCTGTTCTCAACACTGCTTTAAAGAGCTGCCTTAGACTGGGTAATCTAGAAAGGAAAGAGCTAATTGACGCACAGTTCTGCATGTCTTGGGATGCCTCAGGAAACTTACAATCATGGCAGAAGGCAAAGAGAAAGCAAGGCACCTTCTTTACAAGGTAGTAGTGGGGAGAATGAACACAGGAGAAACTGCCAAACACTTATAAAACCATCAGATTACATGAGAACTCACTCACTGTCATGAGAACTACCATGGGGGAAACTGCCCCCATGATTTAGTTACCTCCACCTGGTTTCTCTCTTGACACGTGAGGATTACGGGGATTATAATTAAGGTGAGATTTTTGGTGGGGACACAGCCAAACCATATCAGGAGGACTTGACATTTCATTTACTTAATGAAGAAGGAAGTTTGATGCTATAGCAGATTTATATATGGGTTAAGTTCCCAAATGTTTCCAGTTTGAGTATACCCAAAAATGAAATCAATGGTAAAAAGAACCTTATGTTATAGATTGTATATGAAGGTATTGAACAGGAGAATTTAAAAACGAAGTGTTTGTTCTGCAGTCTACGTAACTGGACTTATTTTTAAATGTCTTACATTTGGATAATTGAGTTATTGTTCCAATTTGTTTTTTATTTGAGCTATAGCTCTATTTTTATTTTCCAAAAAGTTATATCTTGCTATTTGAATAAAACAAAATTTGGAATCTTAAAATTACAGAGCTCTTGGGTACTTTTTCATTTCATAAAGCCACATGTGGCTATCTGTGGCTATGTGTACAGTTCTCTACATATACATACAAATTTTATATATATATAAATTTCATTATGTTTAAAATTATTTTTACATAGCTGATCAGAACTTTATATTATATCTGTTCTGGGGACATTGTTTTTTATTGATGAACATTCTCGATTTAACAGTGTTTTTAGGTGATTTTCTTTCTCAAGATGTTTCAGTTTAGCTTTCAAGAGAAGGGAATTAATGATGAAATACAGAGTTTTAGGCCAGGCGCGGTGGCTCATGCCTATAATTCCAGCACTTTGGGAGGCTTAGGTGTACAGATTACTTGAGGCCAGGAGTTTGAGACCAGCCTGGCCAACATGGTGAAACGCTGTCTCTACTAAAAATAGAAAAATAAGCTTTATGCCCACCCCCCACTCCCCACCAACTGCCGCTCTGCCTACATCGCGCTCCTTCAGAGCTTTGGGCTCCTGCTAACCTAGCGCCACCGTGGTCTCCCTTCAGCACCATCAGATTATTTACCGGTACCTCATCAGCCACATTGAGATGTTCTCTGACATCTACAAGATCTGGGAGATCGCTGAAGATCTGTGCCTGGAGGTGGAGAGGAAGATGGTCAGTAGGATAGAAGGTAACATTGATGGTTCGATTATTGGTGGAAATGCCTCTGCTGAAGGCCCTAAGGGCGAATGTACGGAAAGCACAGTAATCACTGGTGTCGATATTGTCATGAACCATCACCTGCAGGAAACATTCCACAAAAGAAGCCTACAAGAAGTACATCAAAGATTACATGGAATCAATCAAAGGCAAACTTGAACAGAGACCAGAAAGAGTAAAACCTTTTATGACAAGGGCTGCAGAACAAAGCAAGCACATCTTTGCTAATTTCAAAAACTACCAATTCTTTGTTGGTGAAATCATGAATCCAAATGGCATGGTATTGGACTACTGTGAGGATGGTGTGACCCCATATATGATTTTCTTTAAGGATGGTTTAGAAATGGAAAAATATTAACAAATTTGGCAATTACTTCGGATCTATCACCTGTCATTGTTAACTGGCTTCTGCTTGTCATCTACACAACACCAGGACTTAAGACAGAGGGAACTGATGTCATCTTGAGCTCTTCATTTATTTTGACCATGATTTATTTGGAGTGGAGGCATTGTTTTTAAGAAAAACAAGTCATGTAGGTTCCTGGAGAAGCTAGATACTCGTTGTAAGCTACTAGAAAGAATTACAACTCATCAATTAACTTCTACAAAACTACTTCTGGGACTGGAATATAAAAAAGAATCAAAGGTTTTGACTGTGATTTGCAATAAAGGGAAAGACCATCCTCATAGCAGTGCCAACATCTGAAGTGGAGCCTTACACATTTCACCATCTACAATGGAAGTAGTTAACTGGAAGAGTTTACCCAGAGAATAAAAAGAGACTCATTCAGTTGGAAGCAACTTTGTCTCAGCTTATTTAACATAAAGAGAGTGAAGTCTCTTGGGATGAATGTTAAACTTTCTGGTAGCTAGAACAGGGGCTGACTGGCAAACTAGCCTGTTCAGCCACCCGTTTTGTACACTTTAAAGTGCTTGGTTGCATTTTTAAATGGTTGAGGGGAAAATAAAAATTTAAAAATTAGCCAGGCATGGTGGCATATGCCTTGTAATCCCAGTTACTCCAGAGGCTGATGCAAGAGAGCTGCTTGAGCCTGAGAGGCAGAGTTCACAGTGAGCCAAGACTGGGCCATTATACTCCAGCCTGAGTGACAAAGGGAAACTGTCAAAAAAAAGAAAAATAGAGTTCAAGGAAAAAGATAAGAGTGGAATGGGAATTGAATTTACTGACCAGAGTCTGTGTCAGATGTGGTGTGTGATTGTGTGTTGACATGGGGGAAGGACATGTAGGCGTATGCCATGGATTACCTGAATTCTGTTTTTTGCCTCGGCAGAACTTAGTCTCTCAGGAGAAACCAACAAGTCACCACACTGGTAATATCTGTGCTGAATACTTTATGTGGGTATAACAGTTGGGATTAGGTTTGCTTGCAAGTAATAGAAAATGACAATACTAGTAGCTGAAGATAGAGAGTTTTATTTCTCTTATGTAAAGTCAAAGGCATGGTATAGTAGCTACTTGGTTAGCAGGAATGCAGGCTTATTTTTTTGATTCTAACTCATGGTACAAAGTGACTAATCAAGTCACTAGCTATTATACCCAAATTACAGCTAATAGGAAGAAGGAGAGGAGAATGAAAGATAAATTTTCTCTGTTTAAACACATTTCCTAGAAATTGTGCATATTACTTCTAAGTATATCCCAATGGCAAGTGCTTAGTTACAGGGTCACAGTAGTTGAAAGGGAAATTAACTTTAATGCCAGGTTGCCACATGACCTGCTAGAATTTAGGAGGTCCGTTGTTAAGGAAGAAGGAGAAAATAGAAATTGAGGGACAGCTGGCCTTTTCCATCGTATCAGGTTCAAAGTGTTGCAGGAACATATAGACAGGACATGTAACTCAGACTTGGGGGGACAGAAAGACCTTCCTAGGTTTTAGACATTCCTCATAATACTATCAAATATTAGATTGCCCTCTCACATTCAGCATAATTTATAAAAGCAGTATGAGTTCAGTTGCAGTTGACTAGCCGAAGTAATTATGTATTTTTATGACATTTAATCATTTTAGTTTTATAGGTTTTCCCCCACTCTAGATCTCAAAGTTGCAGGTCCTTGAAAAACAACATCTAAGCCACAGGCCCTGCAGTACCTAGTGGATAAGATGGCCGCGTTGGAGGTGGCCTGTTAATGATACTGTTTTTGTAATTAGTAGATAATGGCACCTGAAACCGACTACATGGCAGTACAGATAGAAATGCTTATTTGAGGGTTAAGTTACAGTCAATTCGAGGGTGGAAGGGCATGATGAGTTGACAAATATATTGATTTGGGAGGAAAAGATGTGTAAGTGGATGTGTATGGAACTCAAGAGGGGCATACACTGAGTCAGTAGCATATAATTGCTGATTGCAATCACAAGAGGGGGTGAGTTAGATATCTCTAAATCATAGAGCTTCTTTTTCTAAAACCTTTTCTTCTTTCTTTTGATGGAGTCTCGCTCTGGCGGACAGGCAGTGGCGCGATCTTGGCTCAACATAACGTCCACCTCCTGGGTTCCAGTGATTCTCCTGCCTCAGCCTCCTGAGTAGCTGGGACTACAGGTGCATGCCACTATGCCTGGCTAATTTTTTGTGTTTTTGGTAGAGATGAGGTTTCACCATGTTGGCCAGGCTGATCTTGAACTCCTGACCTCGTGATCCTCCTGCCAGGGCCTCCCAAAGTTCTGGGATTACAGATGTGAGCCACTGCACCACGCCCATAGAGCTATTTTATTTATTTACTTTTATTTTTTGAGATGGAGTCTCACTCTGTCTCCCTGGCTGGAGTACAGTGCTGTGATCTCGGCTCACCACAGCCTCCGCCTCCCAGGTTCAAGCATTCTCCTGCCTCAGCCTCCTGAGTAGCTGGGAGTATAGGCGTATGCCACCACACCTGGATAATTTTTTATATTTTTAGTAGAGACATTTTTTTACCATCTTAGGTAGGATCTCAATCTCCTGACCTCGTGATCTGCCCACCTCGACCTCCCAAAGTGCTGGGATTACGGGCATGAGCCAACACACCTGGCCCCATAGAGCTACTTAAAAAAAAAAAAAAAAATCTAGGTGCGTAGACATTGTACATAAAGATTTTTATTTTGTAAGTTAAGGTTGAGGTCCTGGTATTGAGTAAAAAGAGAAGCTGACTTGGAATAGGGACCTAAGAATGACCGACTTTTGAGATGGCTAGATAAGAGAAGCTGTGTGAGGATGTAGATGAGCAAGGAAGTGGATAAACAGGAGACTGGCATCACAGGCCAGGAACGGTGTTTCAAAGGGAAGGAGTAGTTATCAGCTTCAATTATTAGAAAGTTAAGTAAACCTGGGACTGAGAAATACCTGTTGGATTTAGCAGCAAAAAGTTGTTACCTCTGTGAGAGATGTTGTTTCCATGAAGTTGGGGACTCAAGCAGTAGAAGTTGAATTACAGTGGGTAGATGAATATGAAATGGGCGAGTATAGAAGGTGGCAATATTTTAAAGAAGTTGTGTTATGAAGGAAAGAGGGAAGGAATGTGATAGCTGGAAAAAGAATATGGGTTAGAGGTTTTATTAAGGTAGAATGATTGGCATCAACTTAAAAGCAGATGGGAATGGGCCTAGTTCAAGAGGGAGAAGTTGAAAAGGAGAAAGAGAACTGACGATATCTGAGATTGGTGGGAGTGGAAGGGATTTAAAACAAAGAGGGACCAGGGATACCTGCTTAGTTAAAGGTACCTATTAAGATTCATCATGTCCAATACTAACACAAACTTGGGATACTTTTCTCTGCTCCAAGTTATCTTCCTGATACATTTCCTGGTGTCTAGAAGATAAGACTCTACCAGTCTTCACATTTCCTCAATTCATGCCTCCCCCCAAACTCCCACCATCATGAAAGATAGGTTTTCTTTATACTTTTTCCCCATAAGAGAGAGGGAATTGTCCCTACTTTTCTGTTGTAATAACAGTGGGGTTAGAGATGCAAGAGATATTTATTACCAATTAGGTAGTAAACCATCACCTACATTGCAGAATTCATATGTAAAGTATATGCATGCAGATTTGTAAATATTTTGAATTTCGGGCTTACCTCGTACTATACTTCATTGTGAATGAATGAATAAATAATATTTATATGCCACTCAATTAGAGCCATAAAAACCATAGGATGCTCAGTCCACTCATTCTGCATAATCAGCTGTTGTGAGGGTTTGTTTTCCTAGTGCAACATGTACAGCTTTACCCACTAAATCAACACTGCATGTCCCTAAGGTATGTATGTATTAGATCCTAAAGTAGAATAGTTGTTGCCACCTATATCAGGTACTTTATGATAGTGATAGTTCTGTTTCATTTCTGTTCTGGGTAATTTTTTTTGTTACTCTTTATTATTATTCAGTAATATTATCTGTGACCAAGACTTTTTTAAAATGTAGCTTTTAAAAGATACAACTTAAAATGTTTAGACATTTAATGCTTATTTTTCTCATATTTCTGCTGATCTGATATGTATGTTTTAATTTATTCATTTATCAAACGTGTTATTTAGAGGTGATGGAGGTTCAGTGTTGGAAAGACATCATCATAGTCTAGACAGTGAAACCCACACAATTAATAATATATAACCCAGTTATTGTTAGTTTAGCAAATAGGATTTCAGGAAGCAGGTGCTTTTCTCATCACATATTACTGGAAATCAAATACTTTCTTTATGATGGAAAGGTAAATCATCCTTTCTAATGCAAAGGAACAAGAAAAAAATGGGTTTTATAATCTTACTAAGTTTTTTGAGCTTTTAGAAATGATCCTTAAGAATTGCTGATTTCTTACCTTGGTCTTATGAATGATTACTTTTTTTTTTAAGCTTTTTCTTTTATCTGGTGAATTATTTTTTCTTCTTTTCAGATTCTTCTTTTTCTTCTTTATAATATTAGAGAGCCAACCTGAAAAGATGAAATGCATCTTGAATGATGGGAAGTAGCTGTTAGAGTGAATTTGTGAGAGCTGGTTTAGCTGGTTTAGTACTAGTTTAGCTGCACTACTTTTTGCTATTTGAGAAATAAATCACCAGTGTCTTGTTTCTTTTTTTTTCTTTGTTTCTGTTAAGTACCAGAATTTGCTTAGTGGGTCAGCAGGCAGCTTAAGCTAAAGTCATTTTCCTTCTTCAAGGATTGAACGTGTATCATCGCAATACCTGTGATAAGGCCTCTATATATATGTAGCACCATGACTATTCTTGGAAATTTTTTTTTCTAGTGGAGATTTGAATCTCCTCAAAGAGAACTTGATAGCAGAAAAAAATATGAACTTCTACTTCAAAGTTTAGCCAAAACCTTTTTAAATAAGTTTGAATGGAGTGATTTTTAAATTATATTTATCTGTGAAATGATTTGGAATATGATTTGAAAAAATAATCCATACCTTTTTTTTAGTCTGCAGTTTTCTCTTTTTCCCTTTTTACAGTTGGATCGACTGGTTGTGGATGCAGCAAAGGAGAAAAGAGAAATGGAGCAAAAACATTCCACCATTCAACAAAAGGTACCTCGGGAAAAATTAAAAATTAATTCAGTTTTATACAATTGCTTGGTTGTTGGTTTATGCAAGGTATCATTATATTGGAACAAATCCTTTTGAGTTCTTTTAATAATTAAATTGTGCAGATAAATTTCTCTTCTGTTTTTGAAGAGCAAAACAGATTCTTCAGATTTTAAGGTATGTATATTGTTAATTTTTCCGATCAAAACATTTGAAAGCCATGCTCCTTGAACTAGTTTATGAAAACTTGAACTTAGGGCCTTAACTAAGCTAAAAGTGGCCTTTAGTTAGAATTTAAAACACTATCATAATTTCATTTAGGATACTACCAACTCCCTGTAAAAATGTGTGTGTCCATGTCTGTGTGTTGCGGGGCGAGTTGGGGGGAATGCACCTCAGTGTCAACAGGTGTGCTTGGTCTTACAGACTTTACAGCTACAGTCCCTGTCAGGCAGCCTTTCCTCTCTTTCATGTGATGCTAAAACTTCACTAGCATTGCCTGTTAAATTGCCTAAGTCTAGCTAAACTTACTTTGAAAAAAAAAGTTTTTAAAAATGAAAACTCAAATATTAAACCACTTTTTATTTCCTCTTACTAAAAGAGTTGAATGTGACATGGCTGCAACTCAACCTAATAATATTTTCTTATATATAGTCAGTGACACTTTTTATGTAATGATCTGAAATAGATATAGAAATGTAAGTATGTACAAGATGCCTTCTGGCATTGCTTTAAGAAATCCGTTTTCTTGGTATTGAGCAGTGAAATCAACTTTTTGATGGTTTATTTAGAATTTAAAGTACTGGTAAACTATATCTGACATAGAAGATGTCAGTGGAAAAAAATGAAAACAAAATCAGTGATAAAAGTAAGAAAAATTTAATTGATGATGGATTATTAACGCTCATAGAAAAATAGTATGAAAAAGGGAATGATTTTCTATAGGACCATCTTTAGAAGAGTTACTTTCTAGTTAGTGTCAGGTGAGGCAAACTCCACGTTTTATTTTGTTTTGTTTAAAGATATATTAACTTTTGTTTTGGTAATTGTTTTTTTTAAGCTGACAAAAATTTTATGTAATTAGTGTGTACCGCGTGATGTTTTGATGGGTAGATAGTTTTAATGACATGATCATGAAAAGATTGTTAAAAATTGGGACCAATTGTATTTAATTAAAATGAGATGACATGGTATTTGTAGAAATACATGAATATTTCCTTAAATTGAATTATTTAATAAACATTATGCATCTTTTAATATCTTCCTATTGTGAACACAGTTCATTGCAAAAATGGTAAATTATTAACTCTAAGAATAACTTATTTGATTTTAAATAATCAATTTTCTTTTAAGTAAAATAATGCTATTTTTGCTCATTGTGAACACTCACCTCTTTTCTGCCCTTAAATGCTGACACAAGGCTGCATTACAGGTAAAAAAAAAAAACAAAAAACAGTCAACTAAAAATTAAGGGGAAGTATGTCTCATGTAGTTATTTAGATTTTTCAAAAATTGAAGTTGATCAATTGGAAAAATAGTGATGCTTTAACATTCATGTGTGGATATGTGCATGCATTTTGGATTTCTGATGGATTTATACCTAGGAGTATAACTGCTGAGTTAGAAGGTGTATTAGCTTTAGTAGATTGTTTAGCATAAGTAGATAATGCTACATTGTTTTTCAAAATGCTATACTATCTTGGCAGAGTTCCTATTTGTAGGAGAGTTCCTATTTGCCATCTCATTGTATTATGAAACTTAGATTTTTGCCAATTTGATCAGTAGATATTGACATCTTCTTATAGTTTTAACTTCTTTAATGACTAATGAGCTTAAGCATCTTATATCTGTTGGTCTTTTGTGTATCTTACTTGTAAAAATGTCTGTTAAATCATTCTCTAATTTTTCCACTAGGTTGCCTAATGTTTGATTAAATTCTTGATGTATTTTAGGCATATGTGTTTTTAATTTTTATATAGCTTATTTTATCAGTCTTACGGTTGATGCTTTTTGTGTCTTGTTTAATAAATCCTTCCCAATTCAAAATTATGAAGAGACATCTCTTGTATTATAGATTTACTTTTTAGATTTTTTTTTTTTTTGAGACGGAGTCTTGCCATGTTGCCCAGGCTGGATTGCAGTGGCTCGATCTCGGCTCACTGCAACCTGCACCTCCTGGGTTTAAGCGATTCTCCTGCTTCAGCCTCCCAAGTAGCTGGAATTACAGGAGCTCACCACTACATCCAGCTAATTTTTGTATTTTTGGTAGAGACGGGACTTTGCCATGTTGGTCAGGCTGGTCTTGAACTCCTGACCTCAGGTGATCCGCACACTTAGCCTCCCAAAGTGCTGGGATTACAGGTGTGAGCTACCACACCCAGCCGCTTTTTAGATCTTTAACTGGGTTTTTGTGTGTGGTATGAGGTAGAGATCTAATTTCCTTTAATCCTCCCATTGGTAGCCAGTTGATCCAGGCTAATTATTAAAAAGTTTGCTTTTTCCCAGACGCTCTGTAGTATATCCTGTGTTATGAATCACATTTCCATATATGTGAGGTTCATTTCAGGCTCTCTATTCTGTTTTATTGTCTTTTTGTCTGAAGTGTTAATATTATGCTGTCTTTAATTATTTTTGGCTGTATAATGACTTCTTTAATGACTAATGAGCATCTTATTTTATTGGTCATTTGGATATATTATTTGTTAACTATTAGTCTTTATCTCATTTTCCCATCAGGTTGTCTAATTGTTGATAACATTCTTTAAAATATTTTTTAATTTCATTTTGATTTTTAATTTTTGTGAGTACATAGTAGGTGTTATATATTTATGGGGTACATGAAATATTTTGATACAGGCATGTAATGCATAATAATCACATCATGGAAAAGGGGGTATCCATCCCCTCAAGCATTTATCCTTTGTGTAACAAACAATCCTATTACATTCTTTTGATTATTTTTAATTGTACAATTAAATTATTTTGACTATTGTCACCCTGCTCTGCTTTCAAATTCTAGGTCTTATTCTATTTTTTTCATATCCATTAGCCACTCCCACTTGCCCCCACCCCTAGTTCCCACCACCCCTCCCAGCCTCTGGTCTACTCTCTAGCTTCCTGAGTCCAGTTTTTTTGTTTTTTTTTTTAGATCCCACAAATAAGTGAGAACATGAATGTTTGTCATTCTGGTCCTGGCAAGCAAATTATTGGTGTCTCGTAGTAAAGCTTCCTCCCTTCTCTCCTTTGGTCTTCTATGAATCATAATTGATATCTTTATTTTATTATATCTTGTGACCTGAGTGCTTCGTATATTCTCCATTCATTTAAGTTTTCTTTAATGGCTTTCATAAAATTTTATGATATCTCTTGTGTATCTTTTGTTATATTTATTCCTAAACACTTGTATTCCAAATGTTATCTTTAAATGTATTTATTTTACCGCTATTTCTGTGTACGATAAAATTGATTTTTTTATATTGATTTTGTAAACAGTAATTTCTTTCTTTTTTTTTGTTTTGTTTTTGAGACGAGTCTTGCTCTGTCACCCAGGCCGGAGTGCAGTGGCATGATCCTGGCTCATTGCAACCTCCACCTCCCAGGTTCAAGCAATTCTTCTGCCTCAGCCTCCCCAGTAGCTGGGATTACAGGTGCACACCACCATGCCTGGCTAATTTTATATTTTTAGTAGAGATGGGGTTTCACCATGTTGGTCAGGCTGGTCTCAAACTCCTGTCCTCGTGATTTGCCCACCTTAACCTCCCAAAGTGCTGGGATTACAGGCGTAAGCCACCACGCCCAGCCTATAATCAGTAATTTCTTTTAATATTGATTTATCTCTGGATTCTTTTGGATGTTCTGTGTATAAAGTCTTATCACATACCAGTAATGATAGTTTTTTTCTTCCTTTCCAATCTTGTACTTTTTTTGTTGTTGTTACTTTGCTGACTAGGAGTTTCATCGTGATCTTGAATGAAAGTGGTAATAATGGTTTTTCTTGTCTTGTTTGCTATTTCAAAGGGAAAGCTTCTATTAGAGTCCCCTTTGACAAACCTTGGTTTTGCATTCTATCCCTGGACGTCACACCAAAGCGCAAGTTCTCCTGACAGGCAAATGCCCTTGCTTTTCTTACCTCTTTGAATTCCAGTTTTCACTCAGATCTCTTGCCTTTGAGTATTCCTTCCTAATTTGTTGGGTCATCAGTGTATTTAAGGAAATTCTAACCCTATATCTTTCATCCAGCATATTTAGTTACTAAAATTATGAAATCGATCACATTTTAAGTGCTACAAAATATTGTTTGATATTAATAGTAATTAAATGAAGATATTTTATCTCAAGAAATATAGTTGAAAATCAGAGAAACACTTGTAATGCACTGCACATTCAAGGAAGTCTTTTAAGTTGACCAAGGTCACGAAAACTGCATGTTATGAATGAAACCTTTAGAATGTTAACAAAGTTAAATATATTTTTTGCTTAATTCTGTCTGTATAATTAAATAAATTATAGCCTCAAATAAATTTTAAATGAGGGAATTAAAGTTTCCCTGATTTTTTTTTTCCCATAGAAAAAGTAGGAGGAAATGTAGCAATTCATTTACAGATTCTGCTTCATTTGATCAGTTTGGATTATCATGTCTTTTTGTGGTTAAAGTTTCAAAGGTGTCGGGAGAGGTTATTCATTTTTTTTTCTCTTTTAAAATTCTGAATTTGGTCTGTTTTCTGTTCCTGACCTAGTACACTCTTAAAGTTTTTGTTCCTTTAGGTAGCTGTCGCTCTGCCTCCCATCTAGCGCAGGACCCAGTATCTCAGCAGATGCTGCCAAAATGTTTCCCAAGACAGGAAGTTTACTACTTCCTTTTAGGGTAGAATTCTAATTTTAATTATTGATCCAGGAGGAATTTTAAATGTTATGGGACTGGCTTTTAGAGTTTTAAATTTGCTAAAAACAGCAGTCTTAGAGTTTTGTTCAAAATGCTCTGGAAGTTTGTTAGACAATATTTTAAATATTGAAATGTCTCATTTCTAAACTTCATGAATCTTTGGAAGAAACTGAACGGTTAAATTGCATTCAAGTGAAGATTTAAATAATTAGAATGCTAGAAGGCTATGAATGATTTTATAGTCCTCATAAAAAAAAGCGACTTCAAACTGTAGATATGATCCTTTTCCTTTGAAAACTAAATTTAGGAAAAAAATGCCATAGACACTGTCAGATTCAAGGACTACCATGTACCTGGGCACAGTGGCTCATGCCTGTAATCCCAGCACTTTGGGAGGCAGATGGATCACTTGAAGTCAGGAGTTCAACACTAGCCTGGCTAACATGATGAAACCCTGTCTCTACTAAGAATACAAAAATTAGCTGGGTGTGGTGGCACATATCTATAGTCCCAGCTACTCAGGAGGCTGAGGCAGGAGAATTGCTTGATCACTTGAACCAGGAGGTGGAAGTTGCAGTGAGCCGAGATTGTGCCATTGCACTCCAGCCCCTGGGTGACAGAGTAAGACTCTGTCTCAAAAAAAAAACTACCATGGTAGTCATATATATTTAGAAAATAGTGGTAACTTTAAATATTCCCAGTTAAATATAACCGTATGCCTTTAAAAAATTGTTAACACATAGCACCAATAAAATATTGTGATAGACTGGGTGCGGTGGCTCACGCCTTTAATCCCAGCACTTTGGGGAGGCTGACAAAGATGGACCACCTGAGGTCAGGAATTCAAGACCAGCTTGGTGAACATGGTGAAATCCCGTCTCTACAGAAATACAAAAATTAACTGGGCATGATGGTGCATACCTGTAATCACAGCTACTTGGGAGATTGAGACTGGAGAATTGCTTGAGGGAGAGATTGCAGGAGGCAGAGATTGCAGTGAGGTGAGATCACTTCATTGTTTTCCAGCCTGGGTGAGAGAGCAAACTCTATCTCAAAAAAAAAAAAAAAAAAGAATTTTAAACATAATACTCTGTGTAATATTTAGTTGTTTTCCCTTGTTTATTTGTATACATATTATTTTGTGCTTTTAATCACAATGTATATACAGTTTATATTGATTTATTTTCTGTTTTGTACTATATTCTAAATAATAATTTGTTCTTGGATCATCACAATAAGTATTGCATGAAATAGTCCACTAAAGTCAAATACTTTAATGTGTTGACACATTTCTTTATTATTGATCATTTAATTCCCCCTTTATTTTTCTTATTAATATTGTTGTTATAACTGTCTTAACCCTTTTCTTCCTTTTGAATTCTTTCCCTAGGATACATTTCTTGTCTAGGAAGCTTAGTCAAGTCATATGAACTTCTTTATGTGTTATTTTTTTTAGGATTTCTCCAGTGACGATTCTAAGTTAGAATATAATGTAGATGCTGCAAATGGCATAGTTATGGAAGGATATCTGTTCAAACGAGCCAGCAATGCCTTCAAAACTTGGAACAGGTAATATATTTCAAATACCAGTCTTGATCTTTATGTAGTTTTGATTTTCTGACTTTCTCAGTGATTTGACAACTCTCTCTTTCATAATTCTTTTACTTCTATAAATTCCACAGAAACTTTCCTGAACCTAATCTATTGAAGATAGATGCCCTTTAGAAGCAGGTGAAGAATGAAAACATTAATTCTAAATTTTAAAAATAAGCAAGGATTAAATAAGGAAGCAAGGAGAGTTTTTATAAACCTTGGTCTATAGTGGCTAGCTCATTATAGTAAATAAATTTGGAATATGGTCTGCCTCCTACATTTGTCCTAAAATAGATTTGAGTACAAATTATCATTATGATTAATGAATAGAACAAATGAGCTTTTTTTTTCTTTTGGTTTCTCCTCTATATGATGTTTATGTATATTTTTAGTTAGTGTTTGCTATTATATTAGTTCATTTTCACACTGTTATAAAGATACTACCTGGAAAGGAGTTTTAATTGACTCAACAGTTCTTTATGGCTGGGGAGGACTCAGGAAACTTACAATCATGGCAGAAGGTGAGGGGGAAACACCCACCTTCTTCACGAGATGGCAGGAGAGAGAGAGTTTGGGGGAAACTGCCACTTTTCAACCATTATATCTTGAGGGAACTCCCTCACTATCACGAGAACAGCATGGGGGACACCACTCCCATGATCCAATCATCTCCCACCAGGTCCCTCTCTCAACGTGTGAGGATTACAACTTCACGATGAGATTTGAGTGGGGATACCGAGCCAAACTGTTATTTCACCCCTGGCCTTTCTCAAATCTCATGTCCTTTTTACATTTCAAAATCAATCATGACTTCCCAATAGTTTCCCAAAGTCTCATCTCATTCCAGCATTAACTCAAAAGTCCAAGTCCACAGTCTCTTCTGAGACAAGGCCAGTCCCTTCTGTCTATGAGCCTGCAAAATAAAAAGCAAGTTAGTTATTTCCAAGATAAAAGGGAGGAACACGCTTTGGGTAAATGTTCTCATTCCAAATGGGAAAAATCAACCAAGACAAAGGCCCCATACAAGCCCAAAGCCCAGCCAGGCAGTCATTAAATCTTAAGGCTCCAAAATCTCCTTTAACTCCATGTCTTACATTCCATGGCAGGCTGATGCAGGAGGTGGGCTTCCATGGCCTTAGGCAACTCCATCTCTGTGGCTATGCAGGGTATAGTCCCTGTGCTGCTTTTGTGGGCTGGCATTGAGTGCCTGCAGTGTTTCCAGGTGCATGGTGCAAGCTATTGATGGGTCTACCTTCCTGAGATCTGGAGGATGGTGGTTCTCAAAGCTCCACTAGGCAGTGCCACAATGGGGACAGTGTAGGGGATATAACCCCACATTCCATTCTGTACTGCCTTAGCAGAGGTTCTCCATGAGGGCTTCTTTCCTGCAGCAGACTTCTGCCTGGACCTTCAAGCATTTCTATACATCCTCTCAAATCTAGGTGGAGGTTCCTAAACCTAAATTCTCATCTTCTGTGAATGTATAGGCCCAATACAGCGTGGAAGCCATCGTGCTTGGGGCTTTCCCCCTCTGAAGCAATAGCCTAAGCCTTGGCCTCTTTTAGCCATGGCTGGAATTTGAGTGGCTGAGATGCAGGGCACCAAGTCCCAAGGCTGCGCAGATCAGCAGAGTCCTGGGCCCTGGCCCACCATACTATTTTTCCCTCCTAGGCCTCTGGTCCTGTGATGGGAGGGGCTTCCTCAAAGATCTCTTGCATGCCCTGGAGACATTTTTCCCATTGTCTTGGCTGTAAACATTCAGCCTTTCATAACTTATGTAAATTTCTGAGACTGGTTTGAATTTCTTCCCAGAAAATGGATTTTTCTTTTATACCTTAAGTCAGGCTGCAGATTTTCCACAGTTATGCTCTGCTTCCCTTTTAAATGTAGGTTACAATTTCAAATTTTCTCTTTATGGACACATATAACTGTACACTTTCAGGAAAAGCCAGGTCGCTTTTTGAATGTTTACTGCTTAGAAATTTCTTCTCCCAGATACCCTGAGTCACCTCTCTCAAGTTTAAGATTCCACAGATCTCTAGGGCAAGGGCAAGAATGCTGCCAGTCTCTTGCTAAAGTATAGCAAGAGTGATACTTGCTCCAGTTACCAGCAAGTTCTTCCTCTTCATATGAGACCACCTCAGCCTGGACGTCATTGTCCATGTAACCATCAGCACTTTGGTCAAAACCATTTAACAAAAACTCTTGGAAGTTCCAGACTTTCCCTCATCTTCCTGTCTTCTGAGCCCTCTAACCTCTGCCTGTTATTTATTTCCAAAGTAGCTTCCACATTTTCAGATGATCTTTGCAGCAGTACCCCGGTCTGTTGGGACCAGTTCTGTGTATTAGTCCATGTTCACACTGCTGTAAAGATACTACCTGAGACTGAGTAATTTATAAAGAAAGGAATTTTAATTGACTCACAGTTCTCCATGGTTGGGGAAGACTCAGGAAACTTAGAATTATGGCAGAAGGGGAAGCAGGCACCTTCCTCATAAGGTAGTAGGAGAGAACTCAGGGGAAACTGCCACTTTTAAACTATCAGATCTCCGGAGAATGCCTTCACTGTCACAGGAACAGCATGGGGAAAACTGCCTGCATGATCTAGTCACCTCCCATCATATCCCTCCCATGACATGTGAGGGTTCAAGGTGAAGTTTGGGTAGTGACACAGAGCCAGTCATATCACTTAGGAATCTTTTTTTTTTCCTGCCCTTTGTGAACAAAATGCTTATGAATCTTTAGGTGATACCGATCTTTTGATTTTTGCAATAACTTGAACAAAATAGGAGTTTTAGGAAATGGAATTATTTTCATATATGAAGTTGTGGCAGCTGATGCTCCTTTATTATAAACTTGATTGCTACCAAAAACATTGTAGGTGTTGCTAAACAAATTTTTATAAAATATAAATCTATTAAATATCTGTTAAAAGAATGGATAAAATATTTCATTATATTTTCTCATATAGTACCATACTAAAGTGAAATAACTTAAGACATTAAAGTTTCAACCAAAAGATTGGTTGTCCAAGGATCATTCTTCTGCATATCAGTGATTAATCTTTTATTCAAGGATGCCTCTATTTTTGCCAAAAATAAAAAAGTAGTAAAAAAAACTTCTGTAATAATTAAGAGTGGTGGTTGGATTCTTGATTCTGGTTGATTTTATTGGTTATAATGTGTATATTTTATTCCCTGAACTTATTACTATGAACTTAATGATCAGGTGGTTTTTATTTTAATGATGGACATTCATAAAGTAAATATAATTTCCTGGTAAGTTTAACTTTGTATACGTTTTTGTTAAATGGAAAAATTTAATGTTTTATTGAAATGGATTTCTAGTGTAATTATTTTTATGTCTTGGTTTCAAGGTTACATTGAAAAAACATTCACTGGCTGGGCGCAGTTGCTCACACCTGTAATCCCAGCACTTTGGGAAGCCGAGGCTGGTGAATCACTTGAGGTCAGGAGTTTGAGACCAGCCTGGCCAACATGGTGAAACCCTGTCTCTACTAAAAATACAAAAATTAGCCTGGTGTGATGGTGTGTGCCTGTAATCCCAGCTACTTGGGAGGCTGAGGCAGGAGAATTGCTTGAATCCAGGAGGCTACAGTGACCTCAGATTGCACCACTGCACTCCAGCCTGGGTGACAGAGTGAGACTGTCTCAAAAAAAAAAAAAAAAAAGAAAGAAAAGAAAAAACATTCACTGACACTTCTGAATGTCAGTGATTCATTGAGCATTTCCCTAGCATTTGATATGCCAGATGTTTACATGATACATGGTTTGTTTTATTCAAAATAAATTTTTCTGAACCTGAGAGCAAATACAAAATGGAAAGAATAATGATTATGTTTGTTGTTAAACCTGAGTATAGGAGCTTTAAAAATAATACGTGGGCTGGGTGTGGTGGTTTATGCCTGTAATCCTAGCACTTTGGGAGGCTGATGCAGATGGATCACTTAGGCCAGAAGTTTGAGACTAGCCTGGCCAACACAGTGAAACCCTGTCTCTACTAAAAATAGAAAAAATTAGCTGGGCATACTGGCACATGCCTATAATCCCAGATGCTTGGGAGGGTGAGGAAAGAGAATTGTTTGAACCTAGGAGGCAGAAGTTGTAGTGAGCCAAGATCATGCCACTGCATTTCTAGCCTAGACAGCAGAGTGAGGCTCTGTCTCAAATAAATAAATGAATAATAAGAATAGTACACGAATATAGGAGGACCAACTCAAGTGGTGCAGTTAGAAATAGTGTTTCTAGTTATTTTTTTCTTGTTTTTCTATTTTTTGTTCTATTTCCTTATCTCCTTGTTTCTTGATATTTTTAAGTGAAAATTAAAAATTAGAGTTACATTTTCTAAGCTCAAAAAAAGTAGACAGTAGTCTTTTAAGCCTTTCCTGATGAATTTCTGTAGCCAGAGTAGAAGTTGGAAAAAAAAAATAGCTTGACTGGTGAATGTTTATAATAAAGATTACTCAATCAGTATGGTTTCACAATATAGTGTCAGAATTGAATTTTAACCTTCAGATTTTAAAACAACCTACTTGAAAGTTTAACAAAGTGAAAATACAGTAAATCCATAGAAACATACCATTATGTTAAGAAGAAAAGAAATGAACTTCCATGGACGACTCCAGTGAGAAATTATCTCAGACTTCAAAATGAAGCACATAAGTGTTAGTGGAATATTGCACTGCTATTTAGGACAATAGAAGGAAGTTAATTTTTATTGATATGTGAACATTGCATTATTTATTATTTGTTTTCTGAATTATATTGGCATAGATATTAAAATACGGCTAAAATCAAGAAATAATGGTTAACTTCTGTTGTAGACATTACCTACTACTTACCAAGGGAAAAATACAATGCCTTTGGAAATTAGGCTGCTTTTAAAGGAGATGACATCTACATGTAGTGAAATGGCAGTTATTGATGAGAATCATAGATTGTAGAACACCTTTATTTTCAGTAAAGAAATGGAGCTTCAGAGAGATGAAGGTCACACAGCTGGTTTGTGAACAAATTTAGATACACAACTGGAAACTTGGAACTCTTGGGCTCAAGCAATCCTATGTATCCTATGGCATTTTTCTTAGTTTTTATGGAAATTCCAAACAGTCTTTATTTTGATAGAACAAAATATAACTTCAACTATGAAAAAATACTTTAAAAGAACTTCCTGAAACACATTATTAGGAAAAATTATGGATAGCAAATTAATTTCATTTTCACATGCTACTAAAGAACATTTTGCTGAAAACACTAGTAAAATTCTGACTTATAATAAAAGAATATGGCATATAAGGCTGGTCATGGTGGCTCATGCCTCTAATCCCAGCAGTTTGGGAGGCGAAGGCAGGTAAATTGCTTGAGCCCAGGAATTTGAGACCAGCCTGGGCCACATGGTGAAATCCCATCTCTACGATAAAAAATATACACATGCACACACGCGCACTCAGACCAGGTGTGGTGCTGTGGTGCCTGTAGCCCCATCTACTCAGGTGGCTGAGGCAGGAAGATCGCTTGAGCACAAGAGATTGAGGCTGCAGTGAGCCTCTGCAATGTGCTACTGCACTCGAGCCTGGGCGACTGAGACCCTGTCTCAAATCAGTCAATCAGTAACAAAAGTCCAAACCCTGCGAATAAAGTCTTAAAGTATTTTCTAGATTATAGATAAGGAGCTAGATAGAAAGGAGAAGAAAGAAGAGTAATATTTTAAATGTTATTTAGGATTCTCTTCTTTTTAATATTAAAAATTTGGAGTTTATTTAAATTTCTTTCTCAAAATTTAATTCTCTGTCCAGCTTAATTTATTTTACTTGACTGAGTAAAAGACTCTGTATTTATGATATTGGTCCCTTAATTTAAAAAATTCAGGAATCTAGTGACTCAAATATGAAGATTTTTCTGCCTGCTGTTTAAATATGTTTTTTGGATTGTTTATGGATTAGTTTTAGGGCATCTTTTTTGTTTTAGTCACCATAGGGTACCAATCATATACAAACACATTTGCCATTACCTATACTTCTATGGAATTATAGCATACAGTATTTTCAAAATCAACTATTTAAAAACACCTCTGGCTGGGCACGATGGCTCATGCCTGTAATCCCCAGCAGTTTGGGAGGCTGAGATGGGCAGATCACTTGAGGTCAGGAGTTCAAGTCCAGCCTGGCCAACATGATGAGACCCCCGCCCCCCCCCCCGGTCTCCACTAAAAAGACAAAAATTAGCCGGGCATGGTGGCACACTTCTGTAGTCCCAGCTACTTGGGAAGCTGAGGCTGGAGAATCACTCAAACCCAGGGAGGCAAAGGTTGCAGTGAGCCGAGATTGTGCCACCGCACCCCAACCTAAACAAGTGAGACTTCATCTCAAAAAAAAAAAAGTCTTCTTTCTCCCATAAATATATACACTGTTAAAAATAAAATTAAAATTAAAAATTAAAAAATACTTTTTTACTGCAGGGAAATGTGTGACTAGGAATTTCCAGATAGTTTTAAAACTTCACTTTGTCCTTCATAATAACAAGTGTATTTCAGATCATCCCCAAATCTGAAATTTAACTGAATAAACAATAGTTTGTGTGATGTGACTGAAATAGCGTAAGAAGTGAGAAGTTTTACATCTTATGTGGATTGTTGAGCTAATTTCTCATTGGTTTCAGATTTCTAATTTGTAGTATCTCAAAATTTTATACATCTATAAAATATATTTTTCTGAAGATACATGTGAGGTTACCACAGTAATTTTTCTTTGTTAGGTCATTTTCTCAGTGTGGCAGCTTCCTTTCAGGCTCAAACTAGAACTTATATTTCTCTTTTGTTTTTTATGACAAATTCACAAAAGATAAATGGAGAAGGAAGATAAGTAAATAATAATTTAGTGAAAACTTGGAAAAACAATGAAACAATAATTACTTGTTCTGTTCAGTCTTTGTTGAAATAGATAATACAGCTAAAAGCACAGAATATACTACTTAATTTTTTTTTAATTTATTTTTATTTTTTTATTTTATTATTTCTTTTTTATTGCATTTTAGGTTTTGGGGTACATGTGCAGAACATGCAAGACAGTTGCATAGGTACACACATGGCAGTGTGTTTTGCTGCCTTCCTCCCCTTCACCCACATTTGGCATTTCTCCCCAGGCTCTCCCTCCCCAGCTCCCCCCCCGTCCCTCCCCTATTCCCCCCAATAGACCCCAGTGTTTAGTACTCCCTTCCCTGTGTCCATGTGTTCTCATTTTTCATCACCCGCCTATGAGTGAGAATATATGGTATTTCATTTTCTGTTCTTGTGTCAGTTTGCTGAGAATGATGTTCTCCAGATTCATCCATGTCCTTACAAACGACACGAACTCATCATTTTTGATTGCTGCATAATATTCCATGGTGTATATGTGCCACATTTTCCTTGTCCAGTCTATCATCTATGGGCATTTGGGTTGATTCCAGGTCTTTGCTATTGTAAACAGTGCTGCAGTGAACATTTGTGTGCATGTGTCCTTAATAGTAGAACGATTTATAGTCCTTTGGATATATACCCAGTAATGGGATTGCTGGGTCAAATGAAATTTCTATTTCTAAGGCCTTGAGAAATCGCCACACTGTCTTCCACAATGGCTGAACTAATTTACACTCCCACCAACAGTGTAAAAGTGTTCCTATTTCTCCACATCCTCTCCAGCATCTGTTGTCTCCAGATTTTTTAATGATCGCCTTTCTAACTGGCGTGAGATGGTATCTCAATGTGGTTTTGATTTGCATCTCTCTAATGACCAGTGATGATGAGCATTTTTTCATATGTTTGTTGGCCTCATGTATGTCTTCTTTTGTAAAGTGTCTGTTCATATCCTTTGCCCATTTTTGAATGAGCTTGTTTGTTTTTTTCCTGTAAATCTGTTTGAGTTCTTTGTAAATTCTGGATATCAGCCCTTTGTCAGATGGTAAACTGCAAAAATTTTTTCCCATTCTGTTGGTTGCCGATCCACTCTAGTGACTGTTTCTTTTGCCGTGCAGAAGCTGTGGAGTTTGATTAGGTCCCATTTGTCTATTTTGGCTTTTGTTGCCAATGCTTTTGGTGTTTTGGTCATGAAGTCCTTGCCTACTCCTATGTCCTGAATGGTTTTGCCTAGATTTCCTTCTAGGGTTTTTATGGTGCCAGGTCTTATGTTTAAGTCTTTAATCCATCTGGAGTTAATTTTAGTGTAAGGTGTCAGGAAGGGGTCCAGTTTCTGCTTTCTGCACATGGCTAGCCAGTTTGCCCAACACCATTTATTAAACAGGGAATCCTTTCCCCATTGCTTGTTTTTGACTACTTAATATTTTAAAGCAAAATGATCTGTATGCTGCTGGTGTAGATGTAAATGTTTTATTTTTATTGGCATTTTGTTTTGTAAGAAGCATATACATAGATTAAAGATTAATACTATTTGTGGCCTTTAAGTCAGTTAGAATGGTGATCATTAACTCAGGAGACAACAGATGCTGCAGAGGATGTGGAGAAAAAGGAACACCTTTAAACTGTTGGTGGGAGTGTAAATTAGCTCAACCATTGTTGAAGACAGTGTGGCGATTCCTCAAGGATCTAGAAATAGAAATTCCATTTGACCCAGCAATCTCATTACTGGGTATATGCCCAAAGGATTATAAATCATTCTATTATAAAGACACATGCACATGTATGTTCATTGCAGCACTGTTTACAATAGCAAAGACCTAGAACCCACCCATATGCCCATCAATGATAGACTGGACAAAGAAAATGTGGTACCTTTACACCATGAAATACTACGCAGCCTTAAAAAGGATGAGTGCATGTTCTTTGTAGGGACGTGGTTGAACCTGGAAACCATCATTCTCAGCAAACTGACACAAAAACAGAAAACCAAATACTTCATGTTCTTGCTCATAGGTGGGTTTTGAACAATGAGAACACATGAGCACAGGAAGGGGGGAGTATCACACACTTGGGTCTGTTGGGCGGGGGGCTAAGGGAGGGATAGCAGGGGAATGGGGAGATTGGGGAGGGATAACATGGGGAGAAATGCCAGATAAGGTGATGGGGGGATGGAGACAGCAAACCACCTTGCCGTGTATGCACCTGTTCAACAGTCCTCAATGATCTACACATGTAGCCCAGAACCTAAAGTACAATAAAAAGAAAATTAAAATCAAAAAAAAATTTTTTAATGGGGATGGGCAATTGGGAGAAACATTTATTTAGCTAACATTTTATAATCTTTGACATCCTCAGTTTATGAAAACTTTTCATTTGTCTTGGATTTATATAGCTAATTCCTACAGTGATTATTTTCCTTAATTTTAGGAGCACCTTATTAAGTAAGATGAGGTGAAATACTATCTGTATTTTATAGCCATGATTGTTGAGGCAGAAAATAATAGTAGAGATATGCCCAAGTACGCTAAGTCCTACCAGAACTTTCTATAACATAATATTTGAAGAACTTTTTGAATATTCCTGAAATTTTCAGATTCTTAAGAGTTGGAATTAATTATAAAAATGCATATGTCTATAAAAAGTAAATAAAATGCAATAGATACTTTTGATTATTTTGTTAGGTTCTGAGCTTAAGCTTGTACCTTAATTCTTGCTTTATTTTCGTATCATGCTAGTTCTTTGCTTATTTTGCACATTTTTCGTTTTCATTCTTTTACCACCTTTCCCTTATGTTTTAATCCTGCCCCGTTTTTTCACATGACAGGAAAAAGCCCGATCATATCAGGTACCAAATGGCTTCCATCCCTTTACCCTCATCTTACTCCAGTTTCCTTTTTGGCACGAGAAAGCTCATAATTAACTTGCATTTCAGTTGGATTACTTGCAATGGATAAAAAGTCTCTTTATGTTTTAAATTGGGAAGAAAATATAAACATTTTATTTGAAAAATGGAATTACACCTTTTAATTGCACATCTCCTCAATTTGTTTTAATCTGTAAAGAAATACTTGATTTGTTTATAATTAGCCAAAGAAGATAGAGACTGAATAATAATATCCTTTTTATATATCTTATTTTTTAAAAAAGGGAAAGGCTGTACATGGTGACTCACACCTGTAATCCCAGCATTTTGGGAGGTTGAGGTTGGAGAATCACTTGAGCCTAGGAGTTGGAGACTAGTCTTGGCAACATAGCAAGACCCTGTCTCTGCCTAGATAGGTAGGTAGGTAGGTAGGTAGGTAGGTAGAAAGAGATTAGCTGGACGTGGTGGCATGCCTCTGTAGCCCCAGCTACTCCAGAGTCTGAGGTGGAAGGATCACTTGAGCTCAGGATTTCTAGACTGCACTGAGCTATGATCGCACCGTAACACTCCAGGCTAAATGACAGGGCAAGCCTTGTCTCTCAAAAAATTACATATATGTATAAACAAATAAAAATATAGAGAGAAATAAGCTAGTAAACTCTTTTAAAAAATTGGAGCAGTAACTAGGATTAGTCATTTGGGTAAAACCATGATGATTTTGTTGAAAGAATACATTGTCAGTTCCCCTTTTTTTGCCATTTATTTTCTTTGTATAAAAATAAATTGAAGTAAAGGAGGGTACATGTTCAGGCTTTTAATTTTTATCAGTTGTTTACCTGTTTGGCACTTACATGAATGTGTAAATAATCCCATCATCTGTATAGTTCTAGTTATAAAGCTTCTACAGATTTAGAAGTTTGACTTTTACTTATGTTCTTGATTTCAAGAGTAGTTTGGGGACTAGTGATCAAACATAATAAAAGATAATTTGATTATTTTGTTTATGTATTTTTTTCTTTTCTTGTCCAAATTTTGTCATTCAGATGCTCTAATTGTTATATTAAATAATATTTACAATATAAATGTATTTTAAAAGTATATTTAGAATTTAATAAAATATATTGAGTTATTTCAGTTTGAGATACAAAGTGGTACCTTATTTTTCTTAATGAAGCAAGAAATTTTTCTATTTTAAAAGCTGTCTTGTATTTTGGCTTTGTGGTCAGTTTCTAAATCCAAATATTGTTTTCTTGGGTCTAGTTCTTTTTTTTTTACTTTCAAATTGTAGATACCAAGTACTTAAATTATTAAGTATTTTTTCTCTATTTCACTGTCCATGAATTGTTTTTAAGTCTTAATTTTTCTTTTCTTAGAAATGTTAATAACAACTAGGGCCAGGCGTGGTAGCTCACACCTGTAGTCCTAGCACTTTGGGAGGCTGAGGCAGGTGGATTGCTTGAGACCAGGAGTTAGAGATCAGCCTGGCCATCATGTTGAAACCTCGTCTCTACTAAAAATATAAAAATTATCAGGGTGTGGTGGTGTGTATCTGTAATGCCAGCTATTCAGGAGGCTAAGTTACCAGAATCACTTGAACCTGGAAGGCGGAAGTTGCAGTGAACTGAGATCGCAGTACTGCACTTCAGCCTGAGCGACAGTGAGACTATACCTCAAAAACAACAAGAACAAGGAAGTGTTAATAACTAGGATTATTCTATAGAAAGAATTGAAAATTATATTTTACTTACCTGATTAAAGTTTTGGTCAATGTAGGTTATTCGTTTTTTAAATTTATAGTAGCAAGGGAGGAATGATAGCATCATAAGACACACAAATTATTCAGAAAATGTTTTCTATCTAGGATATATGACATTTATCCTTAAGAGATGTAAAATTTAGAGTTTATATTTTCTTTCCTGAGTTTACAAAGCTGATGGTATGATAATGTCATTCAGAAGCAGGTAGATGGCAGAGGAACTGGGTTTCAGAAATACATAACGATCTTTAGAGTTAATCGGTTAGAGCTCTGACAAAAATGTAAGTTTTAATTTAGCATTTTGATATTATTTTCAGAAGATATTGTCCTAAGATGCAACAGATCAAGAGAAATTAATTTTTGAAGACCTCAGAAGCATGAAAAGTTTACATAAGTGTTTTTTTGTTGTTCAAACTCTGTAGCTTTCATCAAATTATAGAATATTACTATGATATAAAACAAATGAATTTTTATTACTACATTCATCCTACCTCAAATGATTTCTACATAAACTAATCAGTATCAGAGATTGTTTCCATTGCATGTCATCCCATGTGGCAGGGGTGCACCATTTTGTTTGTTTATAGGTATTTCCTTAACATTTCTAACCAATTATCGTCCCAAAGTAAACCCAGAAGTTCTTCCTTTTCTAGCTTACCTCTCGATGATTTGCGCTTAGAGGCAACCCACCTCATTTTATCTAGATGCTTATTTAACAAACTCTTTTTTAATGGTAAAGTTGATTCCTTTTTCAGTGGTAAGAAAACGTAATAGTCTATCTAGTAAATGACTTTAAAATGGAAAAGCATCTTCTAGTCATGTTATGAGAACAACTTTGGATAATTAACTTAATTTTTAAAAATAGAAATTCTAAATGTCTAAATACAATTTCTAATGTTTTGTATTAGTATCAATGAAAAGGTAGAATATCTGCTAATTGATTAATAACTAATTATGATAGAAATCATCTCACATGAAACTAATTTTAAAGTAATGATTCAAATACTGTTTTACCTTTCATGCTTGATAAGAAGTTTGGCTTTCTTTTCTGAATGGCTTTTGGCTGTGAATTTTTTTATGCCTTTAGGTCTTTTATTGTTTTAATAAACTAGAATTAGTAAATATGTTATACATAGGTTAGATTTTTCTTCTAAAGAAAATTGTAAGTAAATTGTTTGCCTAATTATTTACAGTAGTGAGCAGAACCACATAAATAGTTGAGTGAATCATTTGTAGTAATAACTTCGATTATTTTGCTTAGCAGTAAATTTGTATGAAAATAAGGCCAAGCTAATTTGTGATTATCTCTTGTTAGATGTCAGTTCTAACATTAGTTTTCTGTTTTGCTTGTCCAATCAAACTCTTACTGAATTTTCTTCTGAAATGTTGAAAATAAAGCACGATTTATTTCAGTGTTTTACTGTATACAAGTGGATTTTTTTTTCTTTCTTTTTTTTTTTTGAGATGGAGTCTTGCTCTGTCGCCTAGGCTGTGGTACAATGCTGTTGCCCAGGCTGGAGTGCAATGACGTGACCTTGGCTCACTGCAACCTCTCCTTTCTGGGTTCAAGTGAATCTCTTGCCCCAGCCTCCCCATTAGCTGGGATTACAGGTGCCTGCCACCATGCCTGGCTAATTTTTGTATTTTTTTTAGTAGAGATGGGGTTTCACTGTGTTGGTCAAGCTGGTCTTGAACTCCTGACCTCAGGTGATCCACCCAGCTCAGCCTCCCAAAGTGCTGGGATTTCAGGTGTGAGTCCTCATGCCCGGCCACAAGTGGATACTTATATTCACAATATACATTTATACCAACTTTATAAGAAAAGAAATTATTTTGGGGGAAAGAGTTCAGTTATTTTTAAGGAACCTCAAAAATTATAAATTTGTACTTTAAGGCAATTATTATCTGGTGATAGCATAAAGGATAACAGCTTTTGTTAGGATGTAAATTTATGACTTGAAATTAATCAAAATGTAGTACTTTCATTTTCCTGACTTGTGGTTTTAAAAACGTTTGTTCTTTACTTTCAATAGTTATCCCATATTAGAATCAGTTTCTATAAAGCAAAACAATACAGTGCACTTCTTAAAACATAATGACCACAATGTGATTTCCAGTACTTTTTCAAATATTCATTTCTAACAACAATGGAAATAAGTTATGTTTATGAAAACTTAATCTGTTTTGTGTTTCTTTAGGCGCTGGTTTTCAATACAGAATAATCAGTTGGTTTACCAGAAAAAATTTAAGGTAGGTGTTGAGTAATAAGTGAAAACTCAGTGAGCTACCAATTTCATTTCTTTATCTCTTTGTTTTGGCAAATATTGAAGTCTATAAATAATGTGTGTAAAATTAATGTAATTTTTATGTTTGAGCAGGTGTAAGAGGACTCAAGGGTGGAAAATAACAACATTTAATTCTTAAAAGCAAAGTGATTTTGAATCCCGAGTTCTTAATTCCTAGTTTGAAATGGATTTTTCTGGGTCACAGGATTTTTAAAAATGTTTTGGTAGTTTTTAAATGTTATATATTAGTTGTACATACTTTTGTGGTACATGTGCTATTTTGATACTTGTATACAATGTGTAATGATCAAATCAGGGTAATTGGGGTATCCATCACCTCAAACATTTTTCTTTGTTTTGGGATCATTACAAATCTCCTCTCCTAGCTATTTTGAAATATATAACATACTTTTTTTTTTATATGTATCTTTCTCTAGTTCATGACAGAAATAACACTGCCATTCCAAAGCACTATTTTGAAGATGAAAGAGAGGGTGACTTTTTTTTTTTTTGGAGACGGAGTTTTGCTCTTGTTACCCAGGCTGGAGTGCAATGGCGCGATCTCGGCTCACCGCAACCTCCGCCTCCTGGGTTCAGGCAATTCTCCTGCCTCAGCCTCCCGAGTAGCTGGGATTACAGGCACACGCCACTATTCCCAGCTAATTTTTTGTATTTTTAGTAGAGACGGGGTTTCACCATGTTGATCAGGATAGTCTCGATCTCTTGACCTCATGATCCACCCGCCTCGGCCTCCCAAAGTGCTGGGATTACAGGCGTGAGCCACTGCGCCTGGCCCGAGAGGGTGCCTTTTAAATAATAGCACAGTAGGGCCACAGGTGATAGGAGAGCATGGTTAAAAATGACATTAATTAAAATGTAAGCTGACAGTAATTTAAATAGAACCCCTTGAATATGTTAATATTGTTTTATGCGTTTTTCTCAATCTTATTTTAAGGATGAGAAAGTTTCATTTATTAGAAAGGCATAGTGGGATTAGTTGTGAGTTGAAAATATTAAAAATAACTGGAAACTAAAGAATCAGTTAATTGATGACTTGCTTTTCACCTAGTTACTTTTTATGAATAATATTCTGTAAACTGCAAATTTTAAAATATCTACTCTTGAGGTGACTCAGTATGAAATTTTACTTGCTAGTTCTGTGGTAGCAGGTTTGTATGACAGAAGCCCTTTAATCTAGCTAATTAGTTCATGGTTCCTTCTCTGATAAACTTGGTTTTGAATTTACATTTTTATTAAATAGTAGAAAGTGATAAAATCTTTCTGATTCTCTTAGGTGTTTTAAGAAGTTATAGCATTCTTAATAAAATGCTTAAAACTTTACTAAATAAAAGCTTCTCTTTTGGAGAAAAGTAGCTTTTATTATATGTGAGTGGGGACTAGGAGAGTAACGGATGTGAAAGAAGATGGAAGGAAATCCATAGAACATTAACATTTATTGGGCATTTGCTAAGTATCAAGTGTTGGACCAAGCTTTTTATATATAAACAATTTCATATAATCTCTATATAATTTATGAGGTAGATACAATTATTAACAGGACAAAATTACCTTTATTTTTATATCTATATTGATAAACCCTTTCTGTATCTAAAATAAAATATAAATCTTGAAAATTAGACCAGTTATGCCAAATAATATTTTTAAGTATCTTATTATTGGTAATAGTAAAACTTAGGTGGAAAAATATGAAAATTTTGTTTCCTTATTGTAGGATAACCCTACTGTAGTGGTTGAGGATCTCAGGCTATGCACAGTGAAACATTGTGAAGACATAGAACGACGATTCTGCTTTGAGGTGGTCTCTCCCACAAAGTAAGTGGTTCTAAAGAATCTGCGATTTGCTACTATGTTTTTATAGTTTGTCTTAAAGAACTTGCCAGAGTAGAGAAATCTGCATTTTTCTGTAATTATTTGGGTTAAAGAACAAAAGTTTTAACAATAAATTTTAATAATTACTGGTTATAGATATTATAGTCAGATATTTATGTAACTTCTACCATTTATCATATTCTTTCAATTCTGTAAAGGTGATTTATGTGCCCCTGTGAAAACTTTTTAGCTATTATGATGAATTGAAATCATGAGTTTGATAACTATCATTTTATATTTGTACCCAGTAGAAAAAAAGTGAGTATTTGTATGTTTATATGGTAAATTTAAGAGGTTTTTTTTTTTTTTTCTAATGTTCAGGGATGAGTTACTTGTTTTGAAGAAATAATTTGTTTCACTGACACCTTAATTTCTTTGTGAACATACTTTGCCCTAAAGATACATGAAATAAGACCTTTTTTAAAAAACAAATTATATATTTTTTGCTAGAAAATTATTAAATAGCAAAGTGGACAAAATATAAAGCTTATAGGAGTTTTTTTGTCATTAACTTACTATCTGAGAAAACAATATGATTATTTCCTTGTAGAAGTTGTATGCTCCAGGCAGATTCTGAAAAGCTGCGCCAGGCATGGATTAAGGCTGTTCAGACCAGTATTGCTACTGCTTATAGAGAGAAGGGTGATGAATCAGAGGTTAGTAGTGGTATTAGCAATACCAAATAATATATTGCCAAAAGTTCTTGATTTTAGTTGCAATATTATATGACTATATGTAACATCGTTTTTTTTTTTTGTTTTTTTTTTGTTTTTTGGGGGGGGGAGGAAGGCAGGAAGGAAGGGAATAAGGACGGTAGGGAGGAAGGAAGGGATGAAGGAAGGAAGGAAGGGAGGAAGTGGGGAGGGAGGGAGGGAGGGAGGGAGGGAAGGGAAGAAAGGAAATCAAGCAATGAAAGAGACATTGCCGACCTGGATCTAGAGGTTTACAAGTTGATTTCTTTTTTTTTTGAGAGAAGGAAAGAAAAAAAAAATAAGTAAAGGAGAGGAAGAAAGAGGAAGAGAAAGAGGGAGAGTAAATGGAAATATTGCTTTATTTTGAAAAAAATTGGGTATTAATAATGGCCAATCAATGTTTCATTTAAACTAATGGGTAGGTGTGATGTGGTATTGACAAGAATGTATATTTTGTGTATTTGAAGTGGAGAGCTCTATAAATATTTATTAAGTTTACTTGTTCTGGATCTGAGTTCGAGTCCTTGATATCCTTATTAATTTTCTGTCTCATTGAATCTAAGTCTCCTATCTGGGTGTTAGGATCGTTAGCTCTTGTTGTTGCATTGATCCTTTTACCACTATATCTTTGTTGCTTTAAAATCTATTTTATCCGATACAAGAATTGCAACTCCTGCTTTTTATTTATTTATTATTTATTTTTGCTCTCCATTTGGTTGGTAAATCTTTCTCCATCCCTTTGTTTTGAGTCTTTGTGTATCCTTGCATGTGAAACAGGTCTGGATGTAACATGCCGTTGGGTTTTGACTGTGTCTTTTGATTGGGAATTCAGTCAATTTAAATTTAGGGTTACTGCCATTTGATGTTGACTGGCTGTTTTATCCATTTGTTGGTGTAAATTCTTCTTTATGTTGGTGCTCTTTACTTTTTGGTGTATTTTTAGAAAGGCTAATACTGGTTGTTTCTTTCTGTGTGTAATGCTTCTTTCAGAAGCTCTTGTAAAGCAGGCCTGGTGGTAATAAAATCTCTGAGTTCTTGCTTGTTCATAAAAGATTTTATTTTTCCTTCAGTTGTGAAGCTTAGTTTGGCTGGATATGAAATTCTGGGCTGAAGGTTCTGTTCTTTGAGGATGTTGAATATTGGCCCCCACTCTCTTCTGGCCTGTAGAGTTTCTGCCGAGAGATCTGCTGTAAGTCTGATAGGCTTGCCTTTGTGGGTAATCTGACCTTTCTCTCTGGCTGCCCTTAGTATCCTCTCCTTCGTTTCAACCCTGGTGAATCTAACGATTATGTGCCTTGGGGTTGGTCTTCTTGAGGAATATCTTTGTGGTGTTCTCTGTATTACCTGGGGTTGAATGTTGACCTGCTTTGCTAGTTTAGGAAAATTTTCCTGAATAATATCCTGAAGGGTATTTTCCAGCTTGGATTCATTCTCTCCGTCGCATTCAGGTACACCTATCAAACGTAAATTTGGTCTTTTCACATAGTCCCACATTTCTTGGAGACTTTGCTCATTCCTTTTTATCCTTTTTTCTCTAATCTTTTCTTCACGTTTTATTTCATTAAGTTGGACTTTGACCTCTGATATCCCTTCTGCTTGAACAATTCGAGTGTTTAAACCTGTGCATACTTCTTGGAGTTCCTGTATTGTATTCTTCAGTTCCATTAATTCACTCATACTCCTCTCTTAGTTGTCTATTCTCAATAGGATTTCATCAAACCTTTTTTCAAAGTTCCTAGTTTCTTTACGTTGGGCTACAACATGGTCTTTTAACTCACCGAAGTTTGTTATTATCCATTCCTTGAAGAGTGATTCTGTCATCAGGAGGCGCTCGTTCTCCATCAAGCCTTGTTCCATTGTTGATGTGGAACTGTGATCATCTTTAGAGGGAGAGGCGTTCTGACTTTGAGTATTCTCAGCTTTTTTACGCTGGTTTCTTCCCGTCATTGTAAATTTATCTTCCTGTCGTCTTTGAAATTACCAACTTTCAGATTAGGTCTCTTGAGTGGACGTCCAGGTTGTTAGTTCCCAGGGCCAGAGCAGCGGCATTAAAACTGATGGTGCTTTTCTGGCCAGGATTCTCCTGTCGGGCTTCCTTCTTGTTTCCGTAGTAGGCGACTCTGCCTTCCCGGGGCTCCAAACCTCGGTCAGAAGGGGAATCGGTCCTGTTTACTCTGTGCCAAGCACTGCAGCGTCGAGGTGCCGGCAGAACCGCTGCGCCGACCACGAGAGTCGCACTGGCGACTCGTGTGTTTCCACCACTGGGGGATCTTCTGCTCCGTGAGTGACCAGAATTTGTCTGAAAGTGTGGCGTCCTCTAGTTCTCCGCGCCTTCCCTGAGAGCTACAATCCCTGGATGTTAGCGATCGGCCATCTTGGATCGTTCTCGTAACATCGTTTTTTATGGAAGATGATTTTATGTAATTGAAATGAGTTTTATTTTTAAAATCTGGATTTCTCTTTTGTTTATCCTGATTTCATGTACCATTTTAATTCAGTATTTGAATCTATGTTTATTTTAATATTTGACTACATAAACCAGATTGGAATGAGGTATTCCCGTTAGTGTTTTTCCCTGAAGTATTGTGCCATTTTAGATAATTATAAAATAAAATAATGATCACAAAAGGTATTTAAAATTGAATGAATTTAAAAATGAATGGAAGCCAAAAAGGAAAGCATAATATTGTCTCTTAAAGGCCCCTTAGTAAGATAAGCTGAATGTGGAAACTTAGGTCATAGTCTTTCCTCAGTTTCTCAAAGAGCTCTCTAAGGAAGTATTTTGGGCAAGGAAATGAGTGCGTAAACGAGTCTTGAGAAATGGAACTCACCACTTTTGGGTTATATGGCAAGATTGTGGCATAGCTTAGTGATAGATAATTGTCAGGAATATGGTTAGGGGAACTGATTACTTTCTAAATTGTATTTCCAAACTTATTGTGGCCAACTTCCAGCTCCCAAGTATTGATCAAAGCAGAACTTTTTCAAGCATGGTATTGTGGTGGGTGGGGGCGGGGGACAACTAACTGGATCCAACCAGAAAGGCATAGAGAGGAAAGGAGGAATTTGATCAGTAGTAGCCAAGTTGATGTGAACTTGTCTGGGAGCAAATGATGGGAACATTGACAAAGGGCATGTTGGCAGAAATAGCCTGCAGTATGTCTGTCTCTAGAATCTCACTTCTCCAGTCTGGACCAGTTGCTCCGTAAGCCTGCAGCATGGCTGTCAGTCTGGGATTTTCTTACAAAATCATTCTGGAGATTCTTTTATTTCCTGTATCCCATATCTTTCTCCTTCTTGACTTAAGAAAAACTTAAGTACTTTCTCTAGTAGCTTCCTGAAAATGAGACATTTGTGATTCCATGCATGTCTGAAAATGTCTTGATTCTATCCTCATATTTGATTGGTAGTTTGGCTGGATATTTTTAGATTGGGAATAATCTTGAGAATTTTAACAGCATTTTTTGTTTTTTTAGTTTCCAGTGTTGATGTTGGAGCTTTTCTTATTAATGATCTTTTGCATTTCTCCTCTCCAGTTTCTCAGTATTTTCTGGAAGTTCTGGATTGGTATTATGATTTTCTTATTTTTGTGTTTGTGTGTGTTGTTTTGCTCTATTTTCTGGGAAATCTCAGTTAATCTTCCAAGTCTCCTTTTGAATATTTCAGTTCTGCTAGCACATATTTAATTTCCAAGAGTTTCTTTTGTCCACTAAATGTTTGTAAATATAGACCTGTTCTTTTTTCATGGAATCAGTGTTAAACCTGTGGTTTTAACCATCATTGCATACTATGATGTCATCACACAGGGAGCTTAAGAAACTCCCACTGGTTAGGTACCACCTCAGAACACTTGAATGGAGTTGGGACTCGGGCATCAATACTTTAACAAGCTTCCTAGGTTAGTTTCATAAACAACCAGGGTTGAGCGCCATTGTGTTAGAGGCTTCTTTTGGCTATCTGATCATGATTATAAGTTAGGCACTAAAAACTTCTTTGGAAGCTTTGAGCACAAAATTAGGACTTTGTTGACTTTGACCTTTGCCTAAGTCTGGACCATTTGTTGAGGAACAACCGTCATCAGGGTCTTTTTGAGTCTTTTCAGCTGGTGTGATTTCCCAGAGAAGACTCATTGATCTCCCACATAGGTGTGAGGGACTGGCTGGGAGCTAAGTGCTGGATATCTTAGCATATCATATGTATATGCTTATTTAATCCTCTGGCTTCCACCTTTCAGGTGAAGTCTATTCAGAGACTCTTCCTTTTACTCCTCCAGAGAATAACTTCCAGTCATTGTATTTATGTGTAGAGAGCAGTCCCCTAGTGGTATGGAGATGCGGAGGGACAGTAGGATTGAATGTCTTGCTTAAACCATCATTCCTCCTATTAATACTTTTTGAATGGGTTTTGGATTCAGTGCTGTGTTCCTTGAAGTGGCTGACCCAAGTTGTGCTGTGTTTCTATACTTAGCTTCCAGCTTCTCTAATTTGGTGCAAAAATATTAGCATATAGAGAAAACCTGGGAATGAACCAACATGATTTCTATAATACTGACATTCTTTCCTTATATGATAATTGCTTATTAGCTAATTCACATTACCAAACATGTTCTGGTAAACAAATACTCCTTTCTTAAAATTTTTGAATAATCCTAAAGTTCTTTTTTTTTTTTTTTGAGACGAGTCTTGCTTCGTTGCACAGGCTGGAGTGCAGGGGCACGATCTCAGCTCACTGCAACCTCCAACTTCCAGGTTCAAGCGATTCTTCTGCGTCAGCCTCCCCAGTAGCTAGGATTACAGGTGTGTGCTACCACACCTGACTAATTTCTATATTTTTAGTAGAGATGGGGTTTCACCATGTTGGCTAGGCTGGTCTCAAACTCCTGACCTCAGGTGATCCACCCACCTTGGCCTCTCAAAGTGCTGGGATCACAGATGTGATCCACTGCACCCAGCCCCACAGGGAAGTTCTAAGTACCAAACAAATAACTGTTTCCCCTGAACCATTTGAGAGTAAGTTTCCAATGTGATGCCCCATCACTGCATCACGACTTTTTTTTTTTTTTTTAATTGAGACAGTTTCTCTGTCCTCCAGGATGGAGTACAGTGTTGCAGTCTGAGCTCACTGCAACCTTCATTTTCTGGGTTCAAGTGATTCTTATGCCTCAGCTTCCCTAGTAGCTGGGACAACAGGCATGCACCACCATGCCTGGCTAATTTTTGTATTTTAAGTAAGGTGGGGTTTTACTATGTTGGCTAGGCTGGCCTGGAACTCCTGGCCTCCACTGATGCACCCATGTCTGCCTCCCAAAGTGCTGGAATTACAAGTGTGATCCACTGCACCTGGCCTGCATCATTATTTTATTTATTTATTTATTTATTTATTTATTTATTTATTTATTTGATAGACAGTGTCTCACTCTGTTGCCCAGGCTGGAATGAAGTGGCACTATCTCAGCTCACTGCAACCTCTGCCTTCCGGTTCAAGCGATTCTTGGGCCTCAGCTTCCAGAGTAGCTGGGATTACAGGTGTACACCACCACACCCGGCTAATTTATTAATTTTTATTTTTTAGTACAGCTGGGTTTTCACTATGTTGGCCAGGCTAATCTTGAACTCCCAACCTCAGGTGATTCACCCGTCTCAGCCTCCCAAAGTGCTGGGATTACAGGCATGAGCCACTGCCCCTGGCCTGTATCATTACTTTAATGAATACCTCCCACAGCCTGGGACATTCTCCTGTATAATCATAGTATAGCCACCAATCAAGAAATGAGCATTGATACATGACTACCATTTAATTCCCAAACATCATTCAAATTTTAGCCATTGTTCTAGTAGTGTTCTTTATGGGAAAAAGATCTGGTGTATAAGTATAGATAGCATTTAGTTGTTATGTCTTTTTAATCTCTTTTAGTCAGGGTAGTTCCTCATTCTTACCTTGACGTTCTTCACCTTGATAGTTTTGAAAATTATAGACTAGTTCTTTTGTAGAATGTCCCTCAATTTGGGAGGAATATTATATAAATGATACTGTGTTCTTTTCACTTCATCCTCTCAGGGGTCACATGATTTTGACTTGTTCCCAGTGGTGGTGGTAACTTTGATCATTTGATTCAGGTGGTGGTCTAGTGGGTTTCTCCTACTGTAGGAGTAATCTTTTAAACCTTGTTGGTAATAAGTATTTTATTGGGGAGGTGCTTTGGGAGGAACTTTTGGTGGAGAATCGTGTTTAGAAACCAAAATAAGTTTTTGAGTGTGTATATACATACACATATTTACATCTTTTAAAAAATGTATTTATATTGAAAAACATTAGTGTGCCTGTTGGTATCTCCAGGTCTGATAGGATTCATTGTGGTTTTCTCCTTTTCCATATAAATAATTCCTTTCTCTGCGTTGAGAAATCTGGCCCCAATTTGTCTTTAACATGTTTACTTATATGATTGATTCCCTAGCATGTAACTGATATTCTGTGTCTGTTGCCAGGGGTGGCCTCTTCCCTGTCAGACGCTTGATACCTCACACTAGGTGGTGCTCCTACTTTGCTGCCTTCCTCTCCCTACTCGAGCTTCCGTTTTTCTTGCTGAGCTGCCTCCCTATGCAGACATGCTCCTTACCCTGCTTGGGATCCAGCAGCCTGCATATGGTTATGCTTCTGTGTCAGCATGTTTCCCATCTAGCTTGATTCTCTCAAGAATACTGGGTATACACACTTAACTTCCATGGTCCTCTCTAATGGCTGTTGAATAGAGTTTTCAGGAAGGGCAAGACAAGTACCAAATTATATTTATATTGATGCTGTACTAACATACTGGCCTGTTAAGGTTAAAATGTTTTTATTATTTATTGAATAATTACAGATGAAGTCTCACTCTGTTGCCCAGGCTGGATTGCCGTGGTGCCATCTCGGCTCACTGCAATCTCCATCTCCCATGTTCAAGTGATTCTCCTGCCTCAGCCTCCCGAGTAGCTGGGATTACAGACATGTGCCACCACATCCGGCTAATTTTTTTTTTGCATTTTTAGTAGAGATGAGGTTTCACCATATTGGCCAGGCTGCTCTTGAACTCCTGACCTTGTGGTCCTCCCGTCTTAGCCTCCCAAAGTACTGAGATTATAGGCGTGAGCCACTGCACCCGGCCTGAGCTGTTTTTAGACCAGAAGACTTTTTATAGACCATATCTGTCATTGTTTAAGATCTTGGTACCATATCTTTGTATTTGGTCATTGTGGCCATGTGGTGGGGTGTGGGGAGACAGAGTCTCGCTCTGTTTCCCAGGCTGGAACGCAGTGGTGTGATCATAGTTCACTGCAGCCTTGACCTCCTGGGCTCAAGCAATCCTCCTGCCTCAGCCTCCTGAGTAGCTGGAATTACAGGTGTGTACCACCATCCCTAGCTAATTTGTATGTATGTATGTATTTATGTACGTATGATGGAGTCTCATTCTGTAACCCAAGCTGGAGTACAGTGGCATAATCTTGGTTCATGGCAACCTCCGCCTTCCAGGTTTAAGTGATTCTCCTGCCTCAGCCTCCTGAGTAGCTGGGATCACAGGCATGTGCCACCACACCCAGCTAATGTTTTTGTATTTTTAGTGGAGACAGGGTTTCACCATGTTGGCCAGGCTGGTCTTAAACTCCTGGCTTAAAGTGATCCACCCGCCTCAGCCTTCCAGAATGTTGGGATTACAGGCATGAACCACTGTGCCCAGACGTATTATTTTTTAGAGACACGTTCTTGTTATGTTGCCCAGGCTGATCTTGAACACCTGGACCCAAGTGATCTTCCCGCTTCAGCTTCCTAAAGTGTTAGGATTACAGGTGTGAGACACCGCACTCTGCCAAAAAAATTAACTTTTTGTTAATCAGCCATCTTTTGCTTTTCTCTTCTTTTACCTAATATCCCTTGAAGTTTTAAACATTGTATGTTCTATTTTTGATTTACACTGTTGTTAAATTATGTAGTTGATCTCTTCTTTAGTAGTTACATAAGCTATACCTTTCCTAGTTACTCACTGCAATAATTAAAATAACTTACTTTATCCTTGAGAGGTCTGAAAAAAAATAAGTTTATTGAACACCTTGGAAAAGTGAGGTATAAAACAATAATATTTATTTCATTCTTGAGTTTTAATAATCCCTTACCTATTTCCTCTCTCCCACCCTGCATGTTAAACTACTATTCCCCTCTCTGTCCTCATTTTTTTGTACATATGTTCATTGTGTCATTTATTATATATGATTTTAAATGTTTACATGGTTCTCTCCACTAGAATAAAAGTCCAGTGATGGAAGAACCTACATCTTTTTATCCTTGCATCTTTAGTGCCTAAATATTGCCTGGCTTATGCCCATAACAGGCATTTATTGATTGGAAGCTTTAGTTTGGAGCATGTAGTATATTCCAATCTTTTTTTTTTTAAAACAAGTAATTCTTAATTCTTTTAGAAGCTGGATAAGAAATCATCTCCATCCACAGGAAGCCTAGATTCTGGAAATGAGTCAAAAGAGAAATTATTGAAAGGAGAAAGTGCGCTTCAGCGGGTACAGTGTATCCCTGGCAATGCCAGCTGTTGTGACTGTGGCCTGGCAGATCCACGGTGGGCCAGCATCAACCTGGGCATCACCTTGTGTATCGAGTGCTCTGGAATTCACCGGTGGGTAGGCCTGCCCAGGTTGAGGATTTATTCTTTTGGATAAACACAGATTGAAATGATGATGTTTCATTTGTTAGCTGGCCTTTTCCACTTCTCTAACTTAACCACCAGTGTGTGTGTCTTTGTACCTTTTAAGAAGTGGTTAAAATCCTGGTTTGTAAAAGCTTTTAAGGACTTTGGTTCATCATTCATTATTAAACAGAAGATCTGTTCCTGTATATGTGTGTTGAGGGCTTTATTACAGCCTGTGTCACATTAAAAAACAATTTGCACAAGTGTGCAAATAGAAACTTGATTGTTTTTTATATTAATGCAGTCGTCTTTTTTCCACTTAGGAGTCTTGGGGTTCATTTTTCAAAAGTACGATCTTTAACTTTAGACACCTGGGAGCCAGAACTTTTAAAGGTAAAAACATATTGCTTTAAAATATTTCATATGTTCACATAAAAGTGAAAGAATTTTAGATTTTAGAATCTTGGTTTACAAATGTATGAGCTCTTCCTGCTAACAAGGTATGCTAACTAAATTGTATCGAAACACATCTGAAGCTATTTGGCAAATCTGGTGTTTCCATAATAAGTTTGAAAAATTGCTACATTTATATATAGCCCTCTTAACTCCGGGTTAGTTCATGCTTCTTTTTTTCCCTTGAGACAAGGTCTTGCTCCCTTGCCCAGGCTGTGTAGTGGTGCCATCACAGCTTACTGCAGCTTGACCTCCTTGGCTCAAAGGATTCTCTTACCTCAGCCTCCTGAGTAATTGGGACCATAGATGCATGCCACCATGCCTGGCTAATTTTTGTGTTTTTTTGTAGAGACAAGGTTTCACCATGTTGCCCACACTGGTCTTGTACTCCTGGGCTCAAGCAATCCATCTACTTCAGCCTCCCAAAATGCTGGAACTATAGGTGTGAGCCACTACCGTTGGTCCAGTTCAGATTCTATGCCTTAACTTTAATTTTTTCTAATTAGATTCTTATTAAATATATAAGAGATCTATTGTTATACTAAGCTTCATAATGAATTGGTAAAGCTTTTGACACCATCTGGTTGTTTTAGCATAGGACAATTTGCAGGTTTACATTTGTCAGGTTAGGGGTCATCAAACCAAGTCATCCTTTTTCCCCTATGTCTAAGAACTTATATCTATGAAAATGTCATAAATAATTTTAGACCCCTATGGGTTTCTGATAAGATTTACACAATTCGAAATAGTTAATAGTATAATCCTTTTAATTACTGCCATCTAGTTTACCATATTGTAGAAAAACAGATGAATTTAAGGGTTGGAGTATATACTCATTTATTTCTGTCTGAAAATTGTGGCCAGGTGCTGTGGCTCACACCTGTAATCCCAGCACTTTGGGAGGCCGAGGTGGGCTGGTCACTTGAGGTCAGTAGTTTGAGACCAGCCTGGCTAACATGATGAAACCTTGTCTCTACTAAAAATGCAAAAATTAGCCAGGTGTGGTGGCACGCACCTGTAATCCCAGCTCCTTGGGAGGCTGTGCAATGGCGTGATCTCAGATCACCACAACCTCCACCTCCTGGGTTCAGGCAATTCTCCTGCCTCAGCCTCCTGAGTAGCTGGGATTATAGGCACGCGCCACCATGCCCAGCTAATTTTTTGTATTTTTAGTAGAGATGGGGTTTCATCATGTTGACCAGGATGGTCTCAATCTCTTGACCTCGTGATCCACCCACCTCAGCCTCCCAAAGTGCTGAAATTCTTTTTTTTTTTTTTTGAGACAGAGTTTCACTCTGTCACCCAGGCTGTAGTGCAGTGATGTGATCTTGGCTAACTGCAACCTCTACCTCTGAGGTTAAAGTGATTCTTCTGCCTCAGTCTCCTGAGTAATTTCTTTTTGTAGAAATGGGGTTTCACCATGTTGCCATGGCTAGTCTTGAACTCCTGGCCTCAAGTGATCCCCCTGCCTTGGCCTCCCAAAGTGCTGGGATTACAGCATGAGCCACCACACCCAGCCAGTTTTTTCAAATCCTTAACCAACTTTCTTAGCATCAGTAATTGAAATATCCTTTCTTTTCGCATCATTTTCTTATTTTTCCTTTGCCTTATATTAAATTGTTTGTAAATAAGATTGATTTCTGTATGCTACTAATCTTAGGCAGTGATGTCTCACAGTATTATCTCACAGTACCAGTGCAGACTTTAAAGAAGACTTTATAATAATTAGTATCTTTTAAAAATGAAAAATATGCTGTATAAAACTAGAAGTAATAATTGCTTAAAGAGGAATTAGCACATTTAAGATTTATAAGAGGTAGCTGGGCTATGGGACGAGGGGAAAGGAAGTGACAGGGAGAGATAATAGAAACAAGAAATAAAAGTGACAGAAAAGGGGTGTCACAGAAATAATGGGACCTCAAAAGGGCTCATGATTAAGGAAAAGGAAAGAGGCCTGTGCGGTGGCTCACACCTATAATCCTAGCACTTTGGGAGGTTGAGGCAGGTGGATCACTTGAGGTCAGGAGTTGGAGACCATCCTGACCAACATGGTGAAACTCTGTCTCTACTAAAAAATAACAAAAACTAGTTGAACGTGCTGTTGGGCATCTGTCATCCCAGTTACTTGGGAGGTTGAGGCAGGAGAACTGCTTGAACCTGGTATGTGGACATTGCAGTGAGCCAAGATCATGCCACTGCATTCCAGCCTGGGCGATAGAGTAAGACTGTCTCAAGGAAAAGGAGAGAAAGGGAAACCATTCTCTCTTGCCTACCTAGCATACACTTTAAGAGAGTGCCCTTCTGAAACTTCACTCCTGTTGTTGGGTCCAGATAACATTTAATCCTCTTGCTGTCTCATCCCAGTCCTTGCTGGCTCCCACCAACTCACATGTCCCAACACTTTAACCTCTATTCTCTACATTCTGGTAATGCCATCTTTTAATGTATGTTAGTGTTGCTTTTACTTGATTATGATTTCTCAGGGAAATGGTTTGGGTGATCTGCATCTTGGTAAAAATGTTTTTGTGGTCACACCTGGAATTGGGCATAACTAGAAGCAATCAGATTAGCCAAGAAGGTACAGATATAATTTATTAGTGAGGCAAGGAGAGCTTGAACAGAATTAAAGAGTTAACAGATGGAAAGGAAAATCTGAAAGAATTTGGAATATATAACTAGGAGTTGTTATCTGAAGACAGAACCCAATCCAAAGAATGGTAAAAGTTTAAAAATAAATTCCAGAAAGTTGTACATTGATAGATTTGCATATTTCTGGGAACTAGACTTGACAACTGAAAAGAATAGATACTTAATTTTTAACTTACTGTCCTAAGACTGGCTAGTACTTACTATCCCTTACTCTATAGGAATGCTTTGTTGTCATACTTCTTATCTTAGATATAATAGTTGTGATATGTGACTAGATAGATACATAGACTTCTTATCTTAGATATAATAGTTGTGATATGTGACTAGATAGATACATAGATAGATAACTAGAGAGATAGAATGACTCTGGTGGAGGTGATAATCATCTAGGGGAGGTAGTCTGGTGAAGAACAGCAAAGTGATAATATTACTAAGTTCTTGTCTCGTTTTAACATGAAACTTCTTTGTAGAATAAGCAGCTGCAGAATATGCAAGAGAATTAGTTAACTGTACTTGCTTTAAGGACTTTTAAATTTTGACTTATTTTAAGGTCTTTATAGCTTATTTTTCTATTTTTTTGCCAATAGCTTATGTGTGAGTTGGGAAATGATGTTATAAATCGAGTTTATGAAGCTAACGTGGAAAAAATGGGGATAAAGAAACCACATCCAGGACAAAGGTACTATTTCAGTTGTCTTAATGTAATACCTTTTCCCTCCTAATTAGGAATATATGATTTTATTTCACTGTAGTAATTGATATATAACATTGAGACAGTGTTTAGAAGCAGCCATTACTACTTTGTTCAAATGTGGCTCTTTCTTGGGTATGTTAATTAGATAATTGCATTGGACAGATAATCAATAGTCTCCAGAGTAGAGAGAATCTTAAAAACTGGGGATCTGCACAGGAATGTAGAAACGCTTAGTAGTTAGTTAAAGTAGACCAAAGTTCTGTTCGTGGTAACATTTAAAAAGGGATAATTTATTCATTAATGTCTTTAGGGATCAAGTTTCTGCTACCTACAGTGAATAATTTTACATTGTTCATACTTAATTTAGCAAAGATTTGTTACTCACATAGTTTATGCATGACATTATGATATTGAAGAACTGAAGATGCAAAGTGTGCCTCTGGAAGGGGAGAGTACCTGATTGCTGTGTTTGAAATTATTGTTCCAATTCTGTATAAGGAGGCTCATTGAATGAAGTGGCTAAGAGTTGGTACCATCTCTACTAAAAATACAAACATTAGCTGGATATGGTGGCGGACACCTGTAATCTCAGCTACTCGGGAGGCTGAGGTAGGAGAATGGCTTGAACCTGGGAGGCGGATGTTGCAGTGAGCTGACATTGTGCCATTGCACTCCATCCTGGGCGACAGAGCAAGAATCTGTCTCAAGAAAAAAAAAATATATATATATAGAACAGATATGGCATTTTATGATGGTATCATAAATCAGAAGTTAAAAATATATATTCTTAAATTAACAATGCTATGTTGTTTTAAAGTAGTCTTCTGAAAAATTGTGACCACCAGTATTGCCAGTTCAGTATGTGAAATTATTTCTTTGAGCAAAACTGAAAATAAAGTTACTTTCTATAAATTTTTATGTGTTTTTTTCTGGTGATGTTTTTGATTCTGCAAAAAGCATGAGAGGAGTATAGAAACGAATAGCACAGAAATTAAGAGAAGGGAAGAGTACTATGTTAATACTTGTGACTTTTTAGTTAGGTTATTATTTGTATTTCACTTGAGTGTGAAATCATAGTTCATTAAATATTTGAAAGGAAAACATATAGTTTCACCGATTCAGCTTTAACTAGTATTACATTCAGTGACTTTGTTTGAATATATTCAATATATAATGGCTTCTTTGCTAAGAGATTAAACAAAACATTGTGACATTTTTATGTATACCAGACAGGAGAAGGAGGCATATATCAGAGCAAAATACGTGGAGAGGAAATTTGTGGATAAATCTTCTATATTATCATCACCTCCTGAGCAGGAAAAAAAGTTTGTCTCTAAAAGTTCTGAAGAAAAGAGGCTGAGCATTTCTAAATTTGGGCCAGGTGACCAAGTCAGAGCATCTGCCCAAAGTTCAGGTATCACAAACTTTCTTACTGTGTCTATAACTATTTTCTTAAGCTCAAGTCACTTTTATAATCCCTGAACTAGTAGCCATTGTCAGTTTTTTAAATGTTAAAAACCTGTTCTTCTACATATTCTAAGGAAAACTGAATTTCTGTGTCTTTAACACAGTTAAATTTAAACAATGCCATAATATTTCACCTTTCTAGGTCATATGTATATTCTAAGGAATAAAACTGCTTAAAATGCAAGGGGAGATGGGAATTATAAACCTGTGATTTCAAAAGCCCTAAGTATCCAATTAACTACCTGATTTCCTTCCTATTTTTTCCTCCTAAATTTTTTCCCAGTAACGTTTCTTCCTGCCCTTTTCCCTTCTTATGGCCTGCTTTGTGCTTTGCTAACTTGCATGTCCCCAGTGATTGCTGTAAATAGCGACGAGGCCAGGCGGGAGTCTCTGTTTTGTCCTGATGAGCTAGATTCACTCTTCTCCTACTTTGATACTTCTTCAAAACTGCGTAGTAGTAAGTACTACTCTCGTGGAGCATTCCAAGTCTGTGCCAGTGGTCATTGTGCGGTGTGGCCATTTCTCTAGATGTTACCCATTGTCTCAGAATTACACGTTACTCACAGTCATATAATAAATTAAGCTCTTACTACCCCTGACATATTAGGGGGTAATGAAATGTGTTACAACTCTGAAAATAAGTTTATTTTCAGGTTTTGTGATTGATTTATATCTCAATAAGCTAAATGTTCAAAAAGTTTAAAATTATATTAAATGCATTCTACTTGTGGTGCCTGAGTTCATGTTGATGTGTAAGAGTTCATTTTAAAACCTTGTTTGTGGGAGATTGTTTTATAAATGGCATGAACTTTAATCATTAGTCAATTTTTCTTTAAAACAGTCAAAAGTAATGACAGTGGAATCCAGCAGAGCTCTGATGATGGAAGAGAATCTTTACCCTCCACAGTATCAGCCAATAGTTTATATGAGCCTGGTGAGTTCTGATGAAACTCAGTGTTGATTGGTTTTGTTTGCTGAAAAATGCATGTGGTAAATGTCTACTCAATTAAATATTTTAAAGGAAGGAGTTAGTCTTTTAGAAGGTACTATGAGAAGAGTAATACTCTTAAATGAGAAAGCAGCTATTTCTTCATATTTGGAAATTCTGTCCTAGTTATGCATTGTTTATACATTTTTTTTTTTTCGAGTCTCGCTCTGTTGTCCAGGCTGGAATGCAATGGCACCATCTTGGCTCACTGCAACTTCCACCTTCTGGGTTCACGCAGTTCTCCCACTTAGCCTCCTGAGTACCTAGCTGGGTTACAGGGATGTGCTACCACACCCAGCTAATTTTTGTATTTTTAGTAGAGATGGGGTTTCACCATGTTGGCCAGGCCGGTCTTGAACTCCTGACCTCAAGTGATCTGCCTGCCTCAGCCTCCGAAAGTGCTGGTATTACAGGTGTCATCCAGCATACCTGACCCTTAGTTGTACATTCTTTCAAGCCTCATGGTATGTGCTAAAAGTGCCTTACCAATTTCCAAGGGTAATTTTTAATCCACATGAACTGTGTGTCTTGTTATCCTTTATCTTTCCTGTGGCTATCCTATCAGGAGAAAGAGAACAACAACCTCTTCCCCATTAGATTTTTGTTTTGACTTGTGCTTTATATCTTTATTCTCTCCTCCATGATTTCAGTGATTTTGCTTCTGCAGAGTACTCAGGGGACTAAGCACTCTTCAAAATTTGCAGTGTTTACAGTGCAAATTGGGATGGTACCGGACCATCTTAGGAATGAAGTGAGGTTTGGTCTAGTAGTAAAAGTCTTTATGGATTCTTGCTGCTTCTTGAGTCCAGACATTTAGGAATATACTCAATTACTCAGTTTTAATCCAGTACAGAATAATTAACCTGTCCATTGGATACTGGCAAGAACAGAAAGGCCTGGCATATCAGTTATAGTCTTTATAGGAGAAGGTTGAATGTTGGGGAATATCTATGTGAAAATCTCCTGTAAACTCTTTATGATAGATTAATGGTTTTTTATGTTATAGCTTTATTTTTTAAAATTGGGATAAAATTTACCATCTTAACCTTTTTTTTTGGAGACTAAGTCTTGCTCTATTGCCCAGGCTGGAGTGCAGTGATACAATCTTGGTTCACTGCAGCCTCCGCCTCCTGGGTTCAAGCGATGCTCCTGCTTCAGTATCTCGGGTAGGTGGGATTACAGGCAACTGCTACCACACCTGGCTAATTTTTGTATTTTCAGTAGAGATGGAGTTTCACCATATTGGCCAGGCTAGCTTCAAACTCCTGACCTCAAGTGATCCACCCGCCTTGGCCTCTCAAAGTGCTGGGGTGGCAGGTGTGAGCCACCATGAGCAGCCCATCTTAACCATTTTTAAGTGTACAGTTTAGTCACATTAAGTGTAGTCACATTATTGTGCTACTATTACCGCTATTCATCCACAGAACTCTTTATCTTGCAAAACTGAAACTGCCTATTAAACAATTTTTTCTTTCCCTGCCAAGAGCTCATTTTTAATGATGTATTTGTGTTTGCTTTTCAGAAGGAGAAAGGCAAGATTCTTCTGTGTTTATTGACTCTAAACATATTAATCCAGGGCTTCAGCTTTATAGGGCTTCATATGAAAAAAACCTTCCTAAAATGGCTGAGGCTTTGGCTCACGGCGCAGATGTGAACTGGGCTAATTCCGAGGAAAACAAAGCAACACCGCTTATTCAGGCTGTATTAGGGGTATGCATTTATACAATGACATTTACAGTGACAATCAAATATTAAAAAAAAATGATAATACGTTCTGAACTGGCATTAGTATTATCTTTGCTTCAAGAGATCGGTTGGAAAATAGGAGCCTCTGTGCTATTAATAGTAGTGGCTTCTGAGCATCACTTTCATTGTTTCAGCAATTTTTTTGCAGTGGAAGAGAATTCTGATGATGAAAATACATAGTGTGTTTTGGTAGTTCACAAACTGCAAATGAATCTCTATTCTTGGGAAGAAAACAATATAATTCATAATTTTCTATGCTTTGGCTGAGGGAATATTTTTCCTTTTGGAGAGAATGAAATGGAAATGCTATTTGAGTAAAGTAAAGAAAACTAATTGTTTTTAAAAAGAAATGTATTGTTGTTTCTTGTTATTTGCTTTTGTATATAGTTATCCTCTTTTTTCCTTTAAGGGTTCTTTGGTGACATGTGAGTTCCTCCTACAGAATGGTGCTAATGTGAACCAAAGAGATGTCCAGGGGCGGGGACCATTGCACCATGCCACCGTCTTAGGGCACACAGGGTAACTGCAGTGCTTTCATATTTAAGGAGACTTTATTTGAAAAATTATTTTATATTAATGTTTTAGTTTTTCTCAGGTAAATGTTTTTAGGTAGAGTTTGTAAAAAGATGTGTTCCATGACTTATTTTGTCATGATGGAATTTGAAAGTTGAAAAAAATCTCATTGAGAAAAAGCTGCTGTTGGTTTTCAGATATGAAAATTTCAAGGCCTATTTTGACCTTAACTTGTCATTAAATAGATCCATTTTAGTACTTCCTCTGTTACTGAAATTGTGGTGAATTTTGTCAGACAACTTAAGCCTATGTTTTTGTTTGTTTATAGATGTACATTTTTTCTATAATATGTGCACAATAACCTATTTAAGGATAATTTTCTAACTCTGCATGTTTAGTTTTTCCACAGGATAGCTAAACTCAAATTCTAAACTAAATTCTTACTTTGGGTTATTGATGTTGTGTCTTCTGGAGTGATAGTAAGATTCACAGAACAATAAAGCCTTGAAAATTGACTTTCTATTATTAGAAAGTATAAATGAAAGAAAAACGCTGGCCTTACACGAACAGTTTGTGTCTTAGACGATTGTTTCTTAGTAAGACATCGCAGGATATCTGATTATTACGTGGAGATAAGCAAGAAGCTCTTATTTAAAATGTTTTAAAATAGCGTCTTCATTTATTTAGAGACAGGGTCTCATGCTGTTGCCCAAGCTGGAGTGCAGTGGTGTTATCATAGCTCACTACAGCCTTGCCCTGGTAGCTGGGGTTATAGGCATGAGCCACTGTGTCTGGCTATTTTTATTTTTAATTATTTATTATTATTATTTTGCTTTTGAGCTATAGTCTTGCTCTGTTACCCAGGCTGGAGTGCAGTGGCACCATCTCAGCTCACTGCAACCTCCGCCTCCTGGGATCAAGCTATTCTTCTCCTGCCTCCGCCTCCCAAGTAACTGGGATTACAGGCACACACCACCACTCCTGACTAATTTTTTTGTATTTTTAGTAGAGATGAGGTTTCATCATGTTGGGCAGGTTGGTCTTGAACTCCTGACCTCAGGTGATCTGCCCACCTTGGCCTCCTAAAGTGCTGGGATTACAGGCATGAGCCACCGCGGCTGGCCATGTCTAGCTATTTTTATCATGGCTTGTTTTCTTCTATCAGCAAAGAGATTCAGTCCAATAACTTGATCATTGAAGCTGTCTACACTTTAAAAAGGTAGTATTTAAGGTAGTACTTAACTTTGTATTTTCTTTTTTTAAGAGATGGGAGTCTCACTATATTGCTCAGGTAGGAGTGTAGTGGCTGTTCATAGGCGCATTCATGGCTCACTAAAGGCTTGAATTCCTGGGCTCGGGATCTTCATGCCTCAGCTTCCCAAGTGGCTGGGACTATAGGCATGCACCACCCCTTCTGGCTAATGTTTTAATTTTGTAGAGATAGGATGTTGCTCAGGTGGGTCTCGAACTTCTGACTTCAAGTCATCCCCCTCCCTCTGCCTTCTGAGTAGATGAGATTTTAGGTGCTTACCTTGTCTAGCCATTATTTTCTTCTTAAACTATCAAAATTCTGTCCATTTTATTTCACAGACTCTAGTCATTATTTCATATTTTAAAATTTTTCTCAGTTTATTCAAGTCATGAATATTTTTGAATACAGCAAGCAGATTACTTCTCATTCTTTGCTCTTGTATTATCATTATTATGAAGTTTATGTTGCCTTGGCTTTCTTCGTTTTCAAATAATGACCTTGTGTGATCTTTTTTTCATTTATGTTTATAGATACCTGTGCACATCTTTTTATGATATTCTTTGAGCGTAGGGACCACAACTTATATATCTACCGTGCTATCTAATAGCACCAGATTAAATAAGATAATGTATGCAAAAATATATTGAGCCTTGTAAAATGTTGATCTTGATATTTATTAGTAGTCAGTGTTAAATTAATATTTGTAGAATGAAGAATTTCCTAATGAAAATGTTATTTCTTTAGGTAGTACTTTTTTAAAAGATGAATACTAATTTTTTTTTCTTATTTGCAATATCTCAAAAATGCTGTTTCCTTAAACAGGCAGGTATGTTTATTCCTAAAACGAGGTGCCAATCAACATGCCACAGATGAAGAAGGGAAAGACCCTTTGAGCATAGCTGTGGAAGCAGCCAATGCTGATATAGTAACCTTGTAAGTATTTCCTTTGCACTTGACTATTTCCATATAGTGAATTATAGTTGTCCCTTGGTTATCCACAGTGGATTGGTTCCAGGATCTTGTGGATACCAAAATCCACATATGCTCATGTCCCTTATATAAAATGGTATGTATCTACATATAACTTACACACCTCCTCCCAGAGATATACTTTAAATCATCTCTGGCTGGGTGCAGTGGTTCATGCCTATAATCTCAGCACTTTGGGAGGCTGAGGTGGGCGGATCACAAGGTTAGGATTTCGAGACCAGCCTGGCCAATATGGTGAAACCCTGTCTCTACTAAAAATAAGAAAATTAGCCAGGCATGGTGGTGGGCACCTGTAATGGCAGCTACTTGTGAGGCTGAGGCAGTAGAATCGCTTGAACCTTGGAGGTGGAGGTTGTGGTGAGCCAAGATCGCATTACTACACTCAAGCCTGGGCAATAGAGCGAGATTTGTCTCAAAAAAAAAAAGTTTTGGCCAGGCTCAGTGGCTCACGCCTGTAATCCCAGCACTTTGGGGAGCTGAGGCAGGTGGATCACCTGAGGTTGGGAGTTCGAGACCAGCCCAATCAATATTGAGAAACCCCATCTCTACTAAAAATACAAAATTAGCTAGGTGTGGTGGCACATGCCTGTAATCCCAGTACTCGGGAGGCTGAGGCAGGAGAATTGCTTGAACCCAGGAGGTGGAGGTTGCAGTGAACCTAGATCGCGCCATTGCACTCCAGCCTGGGCAACAACAGCAAAAAAACAAAAAATTATCTCTATGTTACTTATTATACCCTAATACAATGGAAATGCTATGTATATAGTTGTTAATACTATTTATTTTTTTATTTGCACATATGTGTGTATGTATGTATTTTTTTGAGACTGATTTTCTCTCTGTTGCCCAGGTTGGAGTGCATGATCTCAGCTCACTGCAACATCTACCTCCCAGTTTTAAGTGATTCTCCTGCCTCAACCTCTCTAAGATCTGGGATTACAGGCATGATCCACCACACCCTGCTAATTTTTGTGTTTTTAGTAGAGATAGGGTTTTTGGCCAGGCCGGTCTCGAACTAACCTCAAGTGATCCGCCCACCTTGGCCTCCCAAAATGCTGTGATTACAGGTGTGAGCCACTGTGCCTAGCAATTATTAGTATTTTAAAATTGTTGTATGGTTATTTTGTATTGCCTTTTTTCCCTTGAATATTTTCCATTGGTGATAGGTTGAACCCACAGATAAGGACAGCCAACTGTACTTGAATGAAGTGTTAAATGAACTTTGAAGATGGTTGGTATTTACTATGTGTCTGTACTTCTCTAAGCACATTAAATGTATGAAGCAGTTTAAATGCATGAACTTAATTGGTTCTCACAACAACACTATGAGGAAGATATTAATATTGTCTTCATTTTATAGAAAAAGAAGCCAAGCCATAGATAATTTGAAATTATCTAAGTGGTGGAGTTGGGATTTGAATCCAAGAATTGTGACTCTAAAACCCATGTACTTAGCCATTTGTGCTATACTGCCCGATATAGGAACAGAAAACAAGTGACTTCTCCAAATGGTTTCTTTAACTCTTTGTAAAGTACTAGGGCAGAGGTTGGGATTGTTAGAGAAACAGATAATTATTCCACTACCTTGAGAATTAGAGGATTCTCTAATTCTGTAGGCAGGACAGCTGCATTGATGTTAGTAATTTGTGAAATTCCTTTACCTTTAGGCAGTGGTAGGAATTTGTGCTTGTTTTTGAAAAGTGTTGTTCACACAAAGCTGGGTGCTCCCACCTATGATTTAAGCTACTCAGGAGGCTGAGGTGGGAGGGTTGCTTAAGCCCAGAAGCTGGAGAAAAGCCTGGGCAACATAGTGGGATCCTGTCCCTACAAAAAATTAAAAATTAGCCAGCTGTGGTTGCACATGCTTGTAGACCTAGTTACTTGGGAGGACGAATGAGACCCTGCCTCCAAAAAAAAAATTACTTACATGAATACTTGATTAATTTTTAGATAAAAATGCATGCTTTTGAATGTTTGAAAAGAATTTAATGTGATCTTTTAAAAATTTTTGAGGTCTTAATTTGATTTTCATCTCAGATGAAAGAAGTTTGTTACACATGGAATTCAGAAAATTAATCATGACTGGCCAGGCGCAGTGACTGACGCCTGTATTCCCAGCACTTTGGGAGGCCGAGGTGGGCAGATCACGAGATCAGGAGTTTGAGACCAGCCTGACCAACATGGTGAAACCCCACCTCTACTAAAAATACAAAAATTAGCCGAGCGTCGTGGCGTGTGCTTGTAATCAGCTACTCAGGAGGCTGAGGGTAGGAAAATTGCTTGAACCCAGGAGGTGGAGGTTGCAGTGAGCCAAGATCGTGCCATTGCACTGCGGCCTGAGTGATAGAGTGAGACTCCGTCTCAAAAAAAAAAAAAACATCACTTATACTTCATTGTTATGTAGGAAATCTCAAGCATAGTTTTTGTGTTGTCACTTACTCATTTTAATCTGGGCTAAATGAGGCCCGTAATTGGTTATCCCCCATCATTGGAGAAGAAATAGGTCCATTCACACTCCTGAATCTCACATGGCTTGTTTGCACTCCTGAGGTCCTACTGAGAACTTTTGACTTCTCATGTCACCCCTGCCTGACTTCTGCCAAATAAAAAGCCAAACAACGGCAAAACATACTTTCTCAGATCCTTTTCCCTTAGAATGGGTTATTGTTATTATGCAGGCTATTGCAGGAAAATCTGGAACTCTTAAATCATTATAGATTTACAGTAGAAGAAAGATCAGTTATTAAAGGTAGGAATGATATAGAGAAACAAGCTCTGCAGACAGTTTCCCAGGCAATTCCTATATAGCAGTGGACCCTTCCTTAAAAATAATGTGTTCTCAAATTGTCTAAATTTTCTCGTTTTACTTTGTATGAGTGCTTCAGTTTTACTTAAGAATTTTTGTAAGTAAGCATCCCCTAAAAATCCAAATGCCACAGGATGATTTGTGGAACTATTGTTAATACACACAGCTGTCAAGAGAGGAGATGAAGGGAATTGTGGAACTTTGAAGATTGGAAAAGTTCATGTCACATGCTGTAGTTGTCAGAACATTTCAGAAGAGGGTGATAGAGGTTTAAGAAGGCAGTGGAAATTTGGTGGCCCAGAAGGACAGACAAGGAATACAGAGAAGGAGAGGGATACCAAGCATAATATTTGCCTATTTAAAAATGTTGCTTAAAGGAAATATTTATCTTCTTAATCTAGTGCTACATGTCATCTGCTGCCAAGATGAATAACGTTTAAAAGAATGTATAAGTAATATGGTAATGTTGGAAAATTCTTGGTAATTCATAGTCATTTATTATAATGTTTGTATATCAAAATACATTTCCATTATTTAGAGGTGACACATGCTGTTTTTATGTCTGGAACTACCTCACTTTAGGGTGAGCCAGAGTGAACTTAGGACAGTGTCTCACTTCCACACTGTAGAAACAATAATTTCAATAGTTGGTAGTTAAAATTTGACAGATTGCTGTAACAGCCAGGAATTCTCAGGCGTCTGAGAAGCAGGCCCCTAGAGGTGTTGCAGGGATGCTGCGGAAGTAGAGCTAAAATGCACCAGTCAGAAAATTTGTATCATCCTTTCTCGTGAGAATTGTATCAAGGTGAGATAGTTATCGTTGTACCTCTAATTACTGGGTTTGATAAACTAAAAGCCAGATTATTTTAATGGCAAATAAAAAACAATTACATTAGTGCATGCATTACCTGTTTATAGACTTTATGACACTTTTATTGTATAATGTCATCTAAAACATTGTTTTATTGATTTTTAGGTTACGTTTAGCAAGAATGAATGAAGAGATGCGGGAATCAGAAGGACTATATGGACAGCCAGGTCAATATTCTACTAATAACCATACTGAAATGCAGTATAAGAAATGCATTCAGGAATTTATCAGTTTACAACTGGAAGATTCATAGTTCTTTAGCAAACTAATGTGATACTATAGAGTTTTTATAACCTACTTGTAAATTGTGAGTTGTTAGCTTTGTACTGTACTTAACTGAATCCTTGGGTGGCTAATCCCAGGCCTTTAAAAATTCATAACTCTTCCTATGACAGTACACATTGACTTGCTCTGTTTAGCTCTGGCTGCTGACCTCTTTATTTGCTGTACAGATGTCTTCCATATACATTCCAGTGAAGTGAATGGAATGGTAAAAAATTCTTTATATGCTTACAGCAGCAAAATAGTTGTTTTCTTTTTGGAATTCTTTTTAGCTGTCAAGTGAATATAACAGAGTTGTTTTCTTTTTGTTATTCAGGGAATTTCTATCAATTACGTTCAGGGAAAAAAAAATCACCGTGTGTCTGGCATATAAAAAGCCAGTATGGAAAATACCAAGAATAAGTTTACTGATTAATTTTGTACTATAATCTAAAAATGAGTTGAAGATTTAAAATGAAATTTATCAGTAAGTGGAGAAGTCCATGATGTGTGTGGAGTTAGTTTGAAATGCTGAGGGAAAAGATCTCATTTTTTCTAAAGATAAAGCTTTGCCTCCAGGCAATTGTACATTATCTCTTGGATAAGTGGAAGTATTTAGAACAATAGTTTTTGCACCAGATGGCAAAGTAGATTTATTCTATTTGAGAAATTTCAACTCATGATCACCTCAAATTTCATTTTGAGTAATTATCACCCTTGAATCAAGATATCAAGGAAGAAATATTGCCGATCAGATTCTTCTCTTTGATGAACACATTGATTAGACATTCTTCACAAAGAAGAAAGTAATTATTGGTTCTTTTGTTTCATGAATTTAAGTATATGTATTACTCATCTGTCTTTTAAATTTATATACATATTAGTAAAAAAATTTTGTGAATTCATGACTACAATACTTGAGATTGTTCAGTTTGCAATGAATAGGTTTGGTTTTTAAAAAAAAATGAATATTGATACATTATTTTTAAAGTGACCTGGTAATATCTCTTCTTCTTGTTCAGATACATTTTGAAATTTCTGTACTTCAGCTATTTATTTTAACAGATTAATATATAATTAATGTGAGGCCATTTTTTCTCAGAGAACCATATTTACGACTGCTTATTTTTGGCCTAATTTAATATGGAACAAGTAAGAACGTTAAGAATAGAGGCACTTCAGCTAGATATTTCTAATCTAGGGTGTCCCACTTTAATCCTATGGATCATATACAATACTAGGCAACTCACGATGTTCCAAGATCTAAGAGTGCTGATTAAGGGTGAATCTCTAGCATTAATTCTGGATTTCACCCATTTGTTTTAAACTTGAATGTTAGATTTTAAATAGGTTATAATTTTGTAAGAGATATTCTTAACTGATAGTATTACTAGGCCATTTTTGAGGCCTTTGTGTTTAAGCACTTTAAAATAAAAGTTGTTTAAAGAATATGACCTGATATTTGTGAGAGAAGAGTGAACCTCAAGATTTTAAGTTAAACAATTATTTTCACCCAGAAATTTTTAACTTCAGTGTTTGGTTACCTGCTCTTTCCTTAAGGTGTTTACCGATGAAGTTTACCCAGCTTATTAGTCAGGTGGTCAGTGGTTGACTCTTTGTGGAGTTGGGAAGCTTGAAAGGAGAGGGCCTGTGAGTTCTTGCCACCTCTAGTTCCACCAGAATTGCTTGGGTTTCTGTTGCCATCATTTAGGAGCATTCAAACTTCTTTCACTGTCATTTTTGTTTGAGTTTAAAATATACAAAAAAAGATTTTTCCAATTTGTTTTAATGAAAACTTGGAAAAAAAAGCCTCATTTTAAAACAAGTTTTCCTACCATTCTCACAGTTTAATTTCAAGGTTAAAAAATAGATTAGAATTCTGAAAATAGTATATCAGAATAAAATTGAGATTTTTCTGATCTATTTGAGGATCATCTTGAAAAGGGTTAGGTTTTTAACTCATTCAGAGGGCTTGATATTTAAAGCAGGATAATTTTATGCTTAGACGGGGGCATGGTGAAATGGCATAGCTATTGTTCTCTGGTTACTATTCTTTTCCTTTATGGATCTTTACAGAGCAGTTATGTTTGGCTCAGGCAGCTGCTCTTTGTTTTTCCTCTGGTTATCACTGTACATTTTTCTATCAAAGGCTTCGGTTGCTTGTTTTATTGGGATCCTTTTTTGGTTTTCTTAGCAAGAGAATGAAAACCTCATTACTCTGGGTAACTTTTAAATGCAGGTATTTTTAATCTTTTGATAATGAAGAGCTCTACCCTTTAAAAGATATAATCTTTGGCAATCACTGATTTATTTCTAGGAAACCCCACTTGTGAATTTTCTATCTGTATAACCCCTAAGGACCCGGGACTCCCTGTTTCTTGTGTGGTGTGATGTGAGAGCATGCTTTTTTCTTTTTCCTTTTTTTTTTTTTTGAGATGGAGTCTCGCTCTGTTGCCCAGGCTGGAGTACAGTGGTGCAATCTCTGTTCACTGCAACCTCTGCCTGCTGGGTTCAAGAGGTACTTCTGCCTGCCGGGTTCAAGAAGTTCTTCTGCCTCAGCCTCCTGAGTAGCTGGGATTACAGGCATGCACCACCACACCCGGCTAATTGTTTTTTTTGTTTGTTTGTTTTTTGAGACGGAGTTTCACTCTTGTTACCTAGGCTGGAGTGCAATGGCGCGATCTCGGCTCACCGCAACCTCCATCTCCTGGGTTCAGGCAATTTTCCTGCCTCAGCCTCCGGAGTAGCTGGGATTACAGGCACGCGCCACCGTGCCCAGCTAATTTTTTGTATTTTTAGTAGAGACGGGGTTTCATCATGTTGACCAGGATGGTCTTGATCTCTTGACCTCGTGATCCACCCACCTCAGCCTCCCAAAGTGCTGAGATTACAGGCTTGAGCCACCGCGCCCAGCCTTGTTTTGTATTTTTGTAGAGATGGGGTTTCATCATCTTGGTCAGGCTGGTCACAAATTCCAGACCTCAAATGATCCACCTGCCTCGGCCTCCCAAAGTGCTGGGATTATAGGCATGAGCCACCATGCCTGGCCCTAGCACGCTTTTTTTCAAAAGAAGGTGTGTCTCTCTTTGACAGTCCCTGTACACCTTAGGAGATATGGGTGGGTGAGGGAAACAGCATACTTTTCTCTCAATTATTGGAAACCAGTTTGGTGGTTCCCACAGTCTCTGGCTTTGTGACTCTTCTTGATTGTTGGCAGGCTCTCAGCCAGTTGATCATCACTGCTTTAGTCAACCACTACTGGTTATGTGAGTATGTAGCAAGCACAAGCTGGGAATCGCTGATCTAAGCAATTATGAAAGTAAGCTGTTACCAACCCAGAAGGGGTAAGGTCATGCATATGATGACCTGGGGATGGGTGTCACATGCTGCCATCCCTTTGAGGGGAGTACATTTCAAGAGCAAAATTAGCAACCCTTGAATCATCATGACTGCTGTTGTGGTAGATATTCTGAGTACCAAAAATTAAAAATGAATTTAAATTATCAGAAACATAGCAGTCTGTTTTTTAAAAACTCAGAGCTGTCCAGACACATAGAAAAGTTAACACTCTGGAGGGAAACAGAATGTAGTTAAGTTTAAGGAATATGCTTAGTATTATAAATGTTGGATGATTAGTTGTTTACCATTTATAATAAATGGTTAAATTATTTCTGTGAACATTCCATGGCAGCATATTCTGGGTTGTTGTTTATGTGTTCCAATGGAGACAAATTATATTTGCCTTGGGAAAAATTCTAAGTAATCAAAATTATATTTAAATATTAAAAAATCACATAGAAGTTAATTTGTGTTAGATGTATTAAGTATCTTAGTCACTATTGTTCTTGTAATGTTTGCTTTCGACAGCACATTTTGAGATCTAAGAAAGGTAGTACATTAACATCATATTAATGTTTTCTTAGAAACTAAATGTTAACAAAAAGTTTTATGTGTGTATATGAAGGTGGCAACTTCCTTTTGTATTGTATTAACACTTTTTAAATGTATTCAGTCAGTGAAACCAATGATTATTAGGGCACCAACACTTTTTATTCAAGGAAGCATTTGAGTCTTATAATTTGTTTTGCATGGTACAATGGTTCTACTAAAATGTACTTGTGTAATAGGTACTAGATGATTTAAAAAAAAAACTGGGAAACCATTTAAAAAATTCCATAGCTTGTTATACAAAATATGCATTGCTAATAGTAGAAGCCATATATTGCCATTGTACTATTGTACTACTTAACAGTGCTCATCTGGTGCTATCTGTAGACTATTTGGTATTAATGTCTGCTAGACCCTCCTTCCTATTTCTTCTTGAATGTACAATGTGTGCCTTTTAAGTTACTTCTAGTGTTGAACGGTAAAATCTTTGTGGTATTTTTGTATTATAATCTGCACTTTACACTTTCTTGGAAAGTAAAATTCCAGACTATCCAGTTTAAATAGTATTTTAAAAATATTTATAATGTTTACAATAAATATTTTAAATATTTCAATTCAACATCTAAAAATTAGAAAAAATATTTTATATGGTTTGTTGCTATTTAATGTTGCTCTCTTCCCTGTTTATTTTATAGCTTTTAGAATGGTTAAGAATGAGAATAGCAATGTTTGTTTTTTGATGTGGAAGTAAACTTTCACGAAATCATGGATATAATCGGATTGTCTTACCAGTTGTTCAACGTATCAACCTTTTATTTTAGTGACGTCCATATAAATTAGATGTTACTCTCAGCCACCTGTTAATAATCGCTTCTACCTTTTTTCTTTTTAAAGTAGACTGATTAGGTTTAATAGATTGATTCAGGTCATGAATAAATTTCCAGGGCTAAATGAAAGCTATATAGAGATGTTAATAAGTTGCTTTTTACCTAAATATAAAAAGTGACTGAAAAGTATTAAAAAATTTTTATTGAAAGTCTTTGGTTATGCTGGTAGACCTCTTAATTCTCTAGCTTTTGATATGGCACCTCTTGCCTCAAAAATCTCACTTTTTAAAAACTGACAAAACCTACTGCAAACTGACAAAACAACAAGTGTAGCAATGAGTTTGTTATAAGATGGATGCAAAGTATCTTACAGGAGATAATTATAAAACATGTTACAACAATAATAATCAAAAACAGTATTGTATGGTTGAAATCTTTGAGAACAGAATTATGCCAAGCATTTGTATAAGGCGAATGTTTAGCAGGAAGCATTCATGATCAGTGATTTATCTTGAAAATAAGATTCCTTTGTCTGAGAGATTTATCTATGTGTGTGTATATTTAGTTTCTCATGACAAGAAAAGTGGTATTCAATTAGCTATAGTATCAGTATCTATAATCTACTTCTCAACAAGCATATTTGTACATACACACGTTTATTTTTCTAATTTAACAGATGTCCTAGGTATTTATTTGCATTTTGTTATAGCATTCTTGCTCATAGAATCTACACTAAAACAAAAACCCAACTTTTAAATGTAAAACTATTATTTTAAAGCCATTTTCTAGGATTTTGTTGTTAATTTTTATAGAGACATAGTCTCACTATCTTGCCCAGACTGGTCTTGAACTCCTGGCTTCAACTAATTCTCCCCACCACCACCCCCCAGCCTCCCAGAGTGTTAGGGTTTATAGGCATGAGGCACCGCACCTGACCAGATTTTTATTTTCTGAGTTTAGTAAGCAGTGGATAAGGTGAATTAGTTTTAATTACCTGTTAACGTTTGAATAAAAAATTACTTCTTAATATGCTGTTTTAATTTAAATTCCTTTTAATTAAAAGATAGTATTATTTTTCCCTGATTATCAGTTTGTTTTGTTAATAACTTGAATCCATCCAAAACATTTGTATTTGGTTTTAGTCAATTTTTTTGGGCCCTGTTATCAAGGGAAATATTTATTTAAAGAAGGTCTCATTTACTATTTCTCATTTAGAATGACTTCCCCCCCACCCTCCGCCATGTGTTAATAAATGTCTTTCTTTACATTGCTTTAAAATACTTGCATCTTTGCTTTTTTTCTAACTCTGAGCTTTCCTCTGTGGCTACATCTGAGGTGCTTTTTACAGGTACAGTTTTTTTTTAAATTTCATTACATAATTTTTTAGCATTTATTTTTAGTTGGCCCTCTTTCTTCCAAAAATGCTCGTCTGAACAAAATTTTAATGTAATGAATTATAAAATAGTTACTAGTCATAAATATGAATTTTTTTTTATTAATACTTGTGTAAATGTTTAAAGTGTCTGTATTTTATTTCACACAGGTGATGAAACTTACCAGGACATTTTTCGTGATTTTTCCCAAATGGCGTCCAATAATCCAGAGAAACTAAATCGTTTCCAGCAAGATTCACAGAAATTCTGAATTTTTTAAAAAAGGGGAAAATATGGAATCTGGTGACCCCCCCCAATGTATACAGCTAAAAATTCACAAATCTTACTGCTTTAATTCTACTTAATTTTGGTAGATATTGAATGGCTTGGAAAAAAGGTACCCATTTATTGATAGATTTGTAAATTAAAACATAGTTACCTAGTAGTTGGGAGAGGAACCTAGTTTAGGACCTCTTTTATTTAAAAAATAATAATAAGCCTGTTTAAAGGGCTATTTTTATAGATAAAAGTTCAGTCTAGATTTTGGCCATCTCTACGTTACAGTATGCTAGGAGGTCAGACAAAAATGATTCTTTTGCCAATAGGTAGTGGCATTGATATTTTTCTTCCCCATGTATCTTGCCCAGGATCATTCAGTCAAGCATGTCTTCATCAAGTGGGAGCCAACTGTCCTGCCTGCCTCAAGAATATGTCTTTTCTTTAGCTTCCCTGATGATTTTTGGTGGTTCAGAAATAGGTGTGTGTGTTTATGTGTGTTTGGTAACCTAGCTATCATACACATAATGTATGATTTATTAGAAGTAAAGAATGTGTCTTCCACATCTGTTCCTAAGTGCGGTTATACTCCTTAGATGACAGGTTATTGTCCAGTACTTTAATATGTGTATGTATAATGGCTGTACAGGTAGACCATAATTGAGTCCTTTAGAATTATTCTATTTTATGCAGCAAAAAGCAGCTTTTTTTTTTTTAATCACAAAATCCCAGTTCAAAATGTGTAGCTCTTCATTGTTGGGTTGATTTCCTAAAACCTTGACAAATGTGTTGATGTAATAAAACTGTTTTAAAGGTTACTTGAATGTTGCAAAATTATGCTTTCATCAAAACGTAACTTTAAAGGAAAGATCAATTTATAAAATAATGTAGGACATTTTTGTCTTTGAAATTTGTCCTTTTAAAGATACAGTTTTGCTGTTGCTCCTAGGGAAAGAAAAATTTCTATACAAAGGAGAAAAAGTACCCCATTTATTTTTAGTTAATACTAAAATATATAGCAATAAATTGCTGTTTATTTTTTTCTACATCTATATTGTGTACTTGTACACAGTGTACATTCTTTTAAATTATATCATGTATATAGCTTTACTATTTGGTTACATGAATCACAGACCCTTGAATTCCAAAATGTTATGGATAAACATATTTACCATTTCTATGCTACAAATTAGTCTGAGTCCATCTTTGAAATGTTTTATCAAGTATAAAATAATTAATTTGCCTTTTTTTTTTTGAGACTTGAGTCTCGCTCTGTCACCCAGGCTGGGGTATAGTGGCAAAATCTTGGCTCACTGCAGCCTCCTTCTCCCAGGTTTAAGCAATTCTCATGCCTAAGCCTCCTAAGTAGCTGGGACTATAGACACCCACCACCATGCCCAGCTAATTTTTGTATTTTTGGTAGAGACGGAGGTTTCACCTTTTTGGCCGGGCTGGTCTCGAACTTCCCTCAGGTTATCTGCTCAAAGTGCTGGGATTACAGGCGTGAGCCCGGGTGCCTGGCTTAATTTGCTTATTGATTCCTTTCCATTGTCGTCAACAATTAAGTTTAATCTTCTTTTAGAAATTATATATAAATGATGATATTATCGATACTCTTTCTAAATAAAAGAGGTTTTTAAATCCGTAACAGTTTTATGTATCCAATTATATATAAATTTTCTAACATTTCCCAATAACTAGAGTTTTATAAATTGATTAAATATCAAATCAGAGTCTAGCCGAGTTATATCGAAATAAGTTTACATCACAGAAAAGGTTCCATAATTTGTCCAAATTGCATGCGTGTAATGCTTATATAGTAATAGTCACTATATGTTGGATAAGGATAAAAATATATTTGTGAATTATTTCTGAGGAAATGCCAACTTCCACAGCATTGTATTTAATTATAACAATAACAGGAACATTAGATCTTTACTGATTCACCTCAAAGCCATAGATCATCTGGCTTTTAGGCACCTTAACTAAAGGCAAAAATCTGATTTGTAGTTTTTATTAGAGTATACCTTGAAATTATTTGACCAAGAAACTCAAAGAAAAGAAGTATGTTAAAAAGAAAGAAAAGAGAAAACCTCACTTTTCCTTTATAGTGTCCGTTCCTGTTTTAAACCCAGGACTTCATTCCTAAAGATCCTGACCTTGAACTAAGGAAGTCTAGGAAGTTTTCTTTTTGGATCTGGCCATGGTGCTTCACATCACCTCTGGAATCTCTGTGGTTGTGAAGGCACTCTTACCTCCTGCGGGTTGAGTCACGAATTGTTAATGTGGCAGTAATTAGTATCTACTTAAATTTAGTGGTTAGAAATGTATTTGAAGTGCCCTAAAGATGATCATAGTTCGGAATATCTTCAGAGAAAGCAAACTTTTTGATATTGCAGGGAGGCTGGCAATACAAAAATACTTTTCTATGGCTTCATTTCTTTTTGAATGTGTTGAGACACAATTTGAACTACATTTGGCAGAAAGGATGGAGTAAACAGCAAGGCTCTTAAATTAATAGTTACAAGGTAGTTGGCTCTTAGGTGAATTTAGCTATGTCAGCTAATAGCTTTTATATGGTATGTAACAAATATGAGTTATGCTGTGATTCAGTGCATTATAAGAAATCATAATATAAACAATGTTAATCATTCTTTTGGGCTTCATCAGTCTATGTTATTGGCCTTTATTTTCTTTCCATAGCTTATCTGCTGTTACCAGTTTCTTATTCCTTATTATTAATCTGTTAGCTCATTATCATTAGCTTACTAACTTAAAAATTAGATAAATATCAAAATAAGAATAGCAGCACTATGAAGAGTTAATAAAATGCAATTTCATGTTAGAAGAGAATCAAAGTAATTGAGCAGTTATTTGCAGTGCTTTATTGCAACATTTATGTGCTTAAGATTTCTAAGATTTAAAAAATTACCTGGAATACAATCCTTAGAAATTCAGAAATATCCTGGTATTCACTAGATTATGGTGTTTGCCCAATTTATACTGGTTTTCACTGTAGATTTTAATGAACTTTGAGTGTTTACTTTTCCAGATGTACAGATTTAATTTGGAATACAAACTTTGGTTCTTCATGAGTACATTTTGAAAAAGAAAAAAATAAACATTCAGAATCTGGCCAACTTAATTTTGTATTTTAAAAATATTTTATGCACATTAAGTACGGTCACAGTAAATGAAATTGTGTTTAAGACTAAATTTACTACCATTTCGAACAGTCAGACATTCCCAGATCATTCTTATATTGTCAGAGAACACTTCTGTATTATATCACTTTGGACCAGGGACATGAGCTGGTAAATGATATATTTTTGTAGACTGTATGTCCAGAATGAGTTTAGAACTGCATGATATCGTGGAAAGAGCACTGGACTAGTAGTCACTACGCTTTTTGGATTCAGGGCTCCTCACAATTAAAATGAGTATAATAAAACAAGGTGAAAATATAAAAATATCCCTTTGTATACTGTTTTGCTACTTACAGTGTACTTTGGCATTGCTTTATCTTACTGGTTTCTCGCAATAGGATTTCTGAGATCTTAATCTAAGAGCTCTGAAATTGTCAACTTGTTTGATCCCAGGGTGCTCCTTTTGTTTTACAGAGTGAGCTCACTTGATTTTTTAGTTGGTGGCATAGTTGGCATCATTTCCCAGGTCTGACTGACTGCTAGTCAGAGGCCCTTTATTTGTATCATGAGATGATTTGAAATCATTGTAAAGCAGCAGAATCTGATAATGACTGCCAGCTTTCCTTGTGCTTTGATAACAAAGACTCCAAATATTCTGGAGAACCTGGATAAAAGTTTGAAGGACTAGGTTGGGATTTGAAGACATAAAATTGTAGGAAGTCTTACATTTTTGCAATAACAAACATTTATGAAAGCAAAACATTTTAAAATAATTTTAATTCACCATATACTTATCAATTTCTTGATGCTTCTAAATGATGTCTACAAATATGGTTTTGTGGACATATTTTTCTGTTTACATAAATTTATCCACTTAAAATGTGATAATTTGGGGACATAGCAAGGTTTGATTACATAAACTTCTTTGCATTGGTCTTTTCACTATCTTATTTGCTAAATTTTCTTATTTTTCTCCAACCTCCCACCCTCCATTTTTTGGTTATTAAACAGGGAAAGCTTGCTACATTGTAAAGATTGTTGGCACCATTTATTTTACACAAAGGCTAAAGGTTAACGTTTGGAAATGATGAACTGCTTTATATATGTGTTTACTTGTGCTTTGTGATGCTTCTGGATCATTCCAGTCATACAGACTTATTACATGTAATATTTCTTGCTACCTGTGGAAAGGTGTATTTTAAAGAATGTATAACCAGCAGTCCATTTACTTTTTATTATTATGTAGAGGATTTGTATCTAATTCATGAATGTAGTTTTACAATAGTTTGTCATTGTAAATGGAGCAAAGTACATTATCTTTATTCTAAAATGTACATTATGTAAGAATTGTAAATATACTTAAGTAATTTGTATGCCAAAAAATTACAGTAAGTCAATAAAAATCTCACCTCTGGCATAGCTACTTCATGCTCAGACTGACATTTTCTTGTGAACTACACTGTGAACATATCTGTCAGCAGCAGTTATTTTTAAGATACTGTATTTCTTCCCAGCCCTTTCAAATCCACATTGATCCTGTTTGCTGGTTACTTCAATCAAGAAATCCATTTGAATTGTTTAAGTGTATAATTCCCTCTGTTCACAGAGCTATTATGGCCCCTAATTCATTGGCAAAAAGATAAAAGACTTCTTTCCGGGGTGGGGTGCTTCCTTTAATTTTTTTTCCATTATGATTGACATTAATGTTCCTAATCTATTTAACACATTCACATTTGATCCTTTTAGTAAACAGACATACACACGTTTGTCTTTGAATTGGGACTGAAGGAATGGAAGGTTGGAAAAACTAAACTGGAAATGAATCACCTGCATTTGTTTTTTTAAAAAAAGTTAATTGAAAGCAGACACAAACTTTTCAATATACCTTGGTTTATTCAGCTTCATTTCATTTCAGAATAGTTCTGTGAAGAAGAGAACCCACATCAGTAGTCTGTAAATATTTTAAATGAAAACAGTATAACTTTTCAATTATTGCAAAAACAAAGCTTTTGCTTGTGGAGGAATGTTTAAATAAGAAGCAAAAGAACCCACAATTCCATTATCTTACCTATGCTGTCCAAAATGAAACCCACTAGCTACATGTGGCTACTTAATTAGAAATAGAAAGAGTTCATTTCCTCAGTGGTACTGCTACATTTTAAGAACTCGATAGCCCCATATGGCTAGTGAATATTGTTTTGAACAGGGGAGATTGTCAAATATATTTATTGTCACAGGAAGTTCTACTGGATAGCACTGAGGAAGATACTGTTTCTTTTTTGGTGTATACCCTTCTAGACCTCTGGGTGTGTGTATTCATACATTTATACAATGGGATCATACTGTTCCCCACTTCTTTCACCTAATAGATGGTGAGAACTTTACTAGGCGAAATTTCAAACGTACAAGTAGAGAAAATAACTTCAGAAGCTGTAAGCTCATAGCATATTCTCCCCATTTTTACCCTTTCATGGACTTAAAATTTTTTTAAATCCAAATCCTAGGCATTTCACCAGCAAATCATTCAGTATGTACATCTAAAAGTTAGGGACTTTTAAAAAATCATAACCCACTCATAAACTATGAAACTATGTAATCAGTATTCAAATTGGTTGTCTGAAGTATGATTTTTAAAATAGATATGAAACTATGTAATCAGTATTCAAATCGGTTGTCTCAAGTGTGATTTTTAAAATAGATTGTGCAAATCAGAATTCAGGTAAGTTCTATACATTGCAGTTGGTGAATATGTTTCTTAGTGTCTCTAGGTTTTTCCTACATTTATTACTTTTTTTTTTTTTTTTTTTTAGAAATGGGGTCTCACACTGTCACCCTAGGCTGGAGGGCTGTGGCGATCATAGCTCACTGCAGCCTTGAACTCCTGAAGTCAAGTGATCCTCCCACATAGCTTGGAGTACAGACCTGAGCCACCTCACCCATTTGTTATTTTTTAAAATTTCCACCTGCAGTTTGTTGAAAACATCGCTTTTAATGACTGCATTACTTTAGTTTTAGCCACTTCATTGATGACCATTTGATTCCCATTTTTTCCCCATTTTTTTTGCCATCATGAATCTAGCTTTGCTTTATTTATTTTTTTTGAGATTGGAGTCTCACTCTGTCGCCAGGCTGAAGTGCAGTGGCGTGATCTCAGCTCACTGCAACCTGATTCAAGCTATTCTGTCTCAGCCTCCCGAGTAGCTGGGATTAGAGTCGCCTGCCACCGTGCGCAGCTAATTTTTGTAGAGATGGGGGTTTCACCATGTTGGCTAGGATGGTCTCAATCTCCTTACCTCGTGATCCTCCCCCCTCAGCCTCCCAAAGTGCTGCGATTACAGGTGTGGGCCACTGTGCCCGGCCTTTGCTTTATTTTTTATTCATTAATTTTTTGAGATAGGGTCTTGCTCTGTTGCTCAGGCAGGGGTGCAGAGGTGCGATCTCAGCTCACTATAACCTCTACCCTCTGGGTTCAAGTGATTCTCCTGCCTCAGCTTCTTGAGTGGCTGGGATTACAGGTCCCCACCACCGTGCTGCTATTTTTGTATTTTTAGTAGAGAACGGGGTTTTACCATACTGGCCAGGCTGATCTCGAACTCTTGACCTTGAGTGATCTGCCTGCCTCAGCCTCCCAAAGTGCTGGGATTACAGGCGTGAGCCACCGTGTCTGGCCTAAGCCACTGTGCTTGGCCTTGCTTTATTCTTAAGGGTAAATATTTTAGAACATTTCTTAAATTATTTCTTTAGGAAGAATTTCTGGAAATAAAAATGCTGGTTCAATGAGTGAGTATATTTTTGAGACTCACTGAATGTGGTAGGCACTGTGTTAGGTACTGGGTATATTGTGGTTAATAAAAAGCAGATGTGCATTCTATTCTCTTGGAGTCATGTGTTCTTGCAATGGAGAAAGATGAGACTAGGGTAGTATATATATAAGTGGCCCTTACAGAACTGTTGAGGATGGCACTTAGCCCAGACACTGGATATAAGGCATTTAGAGATCCTTTACATTTATGTAGGTAGTGGCATGTAAGCCAAGGTCTGAAGCAGAGAGGTTGGATAATCTTTGCAACTTTTTTTTTTTTTTGAGACAGAGACTCAGTCGACTGCCCGGGGCTGGAGTGCAATGGCATGATCTTGGTTCACTGCAACTTCTGCCTCCCAGGTTCAAGTGATTCTCCTGGCTCAGCCTCCTAAGTAGCTGGGATTACAGGTGCCCACCACTACGCCCAGCTAATTTTTTGTATATATTTTTAAATTTTTTGTATTTTTAGTAGAGACAGGGTTTCACCATGATGGCCAGGCTGGTCTCAAACTCCTGACCTTATGATTTGCCAGCCTCAGCTTCCCAAAGTGCTGGGATTACAGGTGTGAGCCACCGCGCCTGGCCACAACCTTACAGTGTCAAAATGATGCAACAGGAAAAACCATTTGCCTAATCTCAGGTCAGAAATCAGAGAACTTGACGAAAGGTAGAAGTGAAGGGTTCTTGTGCTTACCCAAGTTCTTCGTCTGTTTAGACATGTTATGATACACCACATATCTCTAAGCTGAGAAAATAGCTCATATTACAATCTGTCATACTGCATAATTTGTGCTACTACTATGCTACGTAGGTAGTAGGCACTCAGTATCTATTGGATAAATAGCTGACTGGCTACTTACTTGAACTTACTGTTCTTGTTTTCTGTCAGCAATAAACGGCAGGAAGCTGCAACATTTTTATTTACGGGCAAATAACTGGGAATAAGCTACAATAATATTGATTATTCAGAATGATACATTTGTCATTGATAAATCAGAATAGATTAAAAATTATTTTTCTGACTTCCTGTGTAAAATATATTTTTTTGTTACAGTGACCTAATCATGCCACCACTGTACTTTACTGTTTTTGATTTTTTTTTTTTTTTTTTTTTGAGACAAGTCTCGCTTTGCTGCCCAGGCTGGATTACAGTGGCGTGATTTTGGCTCACTGTAACCTCCGCCTCCTGGGCTCAAGCAATTCTTTTGCCTCAGCCTCCCAAGTAGCTGGGATTACAGAGGACTGCTACCACACCTAGCCAATTTTTGTATTTTTAGTAGAGACGGGGTTTCATCATGTTGGACAGGCTGGTCTCATAACTCCTGACCTCAAGGGATCTGCCTGCCTCGGCCTTCCAAAGTGCTAGGATTACAGGTGTGAGCCCCCACTCCTGGCCACCCCTATGTAAAATTTAAGTGATTGTTATTTATGTCTTATCCATAAATTCCAGGAGTAGTGATCTTACAAAGGTTTGAAAAATAAACCATTTGTTGAATAAACTGATTATAAAATAACAAGAGGAGGAAAACCCACCTTATTGATGGTGTAGGTGGGTGACTAAAAGGCTCAATTCTAGCATTATTTCTCCTTTATTAGTGAACAGTAATTAGAATTGTAATAATACAGCTCTAGCATGCTTCTTGGAGAGACTGTGGCACATATAATGAAGCCTTAATAGAGATTTAGTATTTATAAATACCCCAGAAAAGCTTATGGTTGCCCAATTGTGTTTTTGCACATTTTGGATATTTAGGCTTTAAAAAAGGAGTTTGGTGTCTTTAGCATAGTTTGTTTACTCGGTGGTAGGCAGTGTTCTGCTTTTTAACTGTTGTCTCTCATAAGCCAATGAGGCATAGATATTAATATTAGCCCCATTTTCTATATGGTGTAATTGCAGTTCAGCATGATTAAGTAACATGCATAAAGTCCAAAAATCGGTATGGAAGAGATTGAATTCCAGCCTGGATCATTCACCCCAGAGCTTGCTCTCTTAACCAGTGTCATATGTTAACAGTTGTGATAAAATACACACAACTCAGAGCGTGAATTACTGTTTTTGGAGCTAATCCTGACTAGAAGCTTGGACTTGGAAACAGTATGACTTGGGTTAGGATCCCAGCTCCATTATTTACTAGCCTACTAAATTTGGGTAATTCTCTAAATCTCGGTGTCCTCCGTTGTAAAATACCTCTACCTCATAGACTTGTGAGAATCCAGTGTTTTCCAGGAAAGTGTTACTCCAATAGAAAAGAACAAGAGTTAAAAATGAGATGGAATGAGGATCTGGGAAAGGTGGCCTCTACCCACACTTTGAGAAATGATGGCATAGCCCGATAAATTCTGAGACCAATCTATATATGCGTTTGTCCATTATTTTCACTTCCTCCTCTCTCAAGCATGCACAGCACTTGTACGTGATTACTTAAAAACTACTGATATATCCTCAATTCTTATAAGAATGAAGTTAGTAAGTTTTTATCTAGTTAGCAGTGTGCAACTGCCCAGGGTCAAAATTGCCACTCGCTAGCTCTGTGACTTTGGGCAGGTAACCTCGCTGTGCAAAATTCCCTGGTACCTATGAAGGCTCTTGATAAAGCGTTAAAAGTCTGTTTACAAAACAA